CTTCGATTCCAGCCCCAACTTCAAGCCCAACTATAACTCTTTCGACTTTACTACCCTGGGCGGTAGCCCTTATCATTATGGCAAGTCTGTAGAAGGCAGTTCCACCTGTACATTCATGTTACTCTCTTCCGTTGTCACAAGCACTATCCTGCACCTGGGAGGTACAGGCAGGCTGGGACAGGGGATGCCTGAACGTCTGCCCTGCTTCTGTAGTGCAGCTCAGAACAAGCCAGCTCTAGTCTGGCAGCTGCAATCAGCCTCAGTCCCAGGACAGTTGCTTGTGGCTCCTGAATCTCAGGAATGTGAGGCCTGCACAGACTACCTGGGACTCAGTGCCCCTCTACCTTCCATTAACTTGTGGGCACTAATGCTTAGTAGTACTAGTAGTATTTACATTTATGCCCACTCAGGGAACCTTGTGGCTAATGGGGCAAGCTAAAAATACATACATATATAAAATCTGCTTATTCCTGGCACTGGGTCTCAAGGCTTCTTACAATACTAAAAACATAAACTATTAAAAGAGTAAAAGAAATGTTCAAGAGTTAAAAGAGTTAAAAATCAGCTAAGATATTAAAATTATATCAACTACCAAAATTAAGACAACAATAAAAACAACACAGACAATAGAGATGGTCCAATACAATCTCACAGGTCTAGAGAAGCCCAAAAGTTCTGCTAGAACAGATTGTTTTCCTGCTTTCAAAAGCATAGCAGCTACACACCAATCTACCCTTCCTGGGAAGGGGTTCTACAGCCTTGGGGCAGCCACTAAGAAGGCCCTCACCTGCATTCTCACCAAGTTTGTCTGAGAAGGTGGCAGGAGCAAGAGGAGGGCCTCCACTGAAGATCTTAGGGTGCAGACATATTCCTGAAGAAGAATGTGGTTTTTCAGATACACCCAAGCTGTGTACAGCTTTGAATCCTGTTAAGTAGATCAGCATTATCATCCCAGTATTACAGATAGTATTATCTTCCATTGCTTGTTTACCGAGTAGTCTCCTAGTGAATGTATAACTGTGCTGAAACTTGATTTTTAATTGTAAGCTGCTTTCTGAGGGCCAACTCTAAAAATGAAGGATTAAAAATAAAGAAATAATCATGATTACTTAAAGAAATAATCAGGGCTTCCCTGCTGACATGCTCACTGTGCAAACCTATCTACTCAGAAGTAAGCCCCATTAAGCTCAATAGGACTGACTCTCAGGTAATTGTCCATACTCCCTGGAAGCAACACAAGTTGCTTGCACTGCTAGTCAATAAAACTGCCCTGCATTATATTCCAGAATTCAATAAAATTAATGTCTATATGAGCCCCATGAAATGTTTTACATTCTGTTAATTATTAATCTTTAACTTATGTCCTACCTGTACAAATGACTATAGTATTCATAATCTTCCTGTCGGCATTGCTAGTTCAAGATGGCTTCCTGTCACCAGGAAATAGCAGGCTATGCTTCAGATGTTCCAGCTGAGCCATTTCATCATTCATGTTGGTGTGATGGAGTGATAGCAATACCTCTAGGCTTATGCAAATCTTTTATTAACTTTCTCAGAGGCCTAATCTACTGATTTACTGTTTATAGTTGGATTTAGCCTCATTTGGAATAAAGATAGGCAAATTCTGTCAAGTTAAGGAACAAAAATTTTGTTGAGTTCAGTTCCTCAGATTGACTTTAAGTTGAATTTGTATGCAAGTCAGATTGCATGTGTAAAAACTATATAAAACACTTAAACACATCCATATACACTAAAACATCTTAAAAGCAATACAGCATTTTAACAGTAATAGTAATATGGTAATAATAAAATAATGACAGGTACTGAAGAAAGATTGAGAGAATTCAGTTGTTGAATAACTGAAGTCTAATGCTTTCCCAATATCTGATGGCATCTCAACTTTCTCTTAACACTTTCGATTGTGATTGATTTTTCTTTTCTTTCATGAATCACTTGCACTTGCATTGGATTTACATTTTGGAAGCAATACTAACTCCATGTGATCAGGAACACACTTGCTTAGATACACTACTTTTTCATGAAAAAGTGCTGTAGTTCCACCTCTATTGTGGAACTAATTCCAACTTCAAAGCTCAACAATTTTTCCTTCCTCCTCCACTTTCCCTCCTTCCTTTCTTCCTTCCTCTCCTTGCTGCCCGGCGCCCGTGGCCACCCACTTGCTGCTCAAGACAAGGCAAGACTTCCGGGTTTGCTTATTTGTATGAAGGGGCTGTTCTAACCTCAGATGTTCGTAACTGGGGGGCTAGGTGTATATGAGTCTACAAATAACAGTGCATGATAGAAACATTCTAGTGATTGAAAATTACAGGTGTTGCTGTGGATAGAGACTATATCTAAACACTGTTTATATTGTGTTGACTAGTCCCAGTGCAGATACTGTGGTCATATTTACCTGGTTTTGGTTTAACAATGAGCTGCTTTCACTAAGGGAAGATTCAGTCATAGTGAAAATAGGGTGACACACCTTTTTCAGTTTTATATGCTAGAATTAAGAAGAACCACTCCAAACCACATAATTGCAAGATGTGACTTTCCTCCAGATTCATGGAGCCTTTAGACAATGCAGCTTGTGTCATCTTCTTACTGCAAGGGGAGATACTTGGGAATTCCTTTGACAGAATGGAGAAGTATATTTGCCTGTAATCCATCAAAGATAACCTGGTTATTTATTGACCTGCTCCCTGAAGATAGGCAAAAAGAAACTGTATAGCTTATATTTTCATTTGAAGAAACTCTGCAAGATAAAGGACAATTATTTATTTTTCAATTTATATCCTGCCTTTTTCCTACAAAGGGCTCAAGGCAGCTTACATCTCCTCCTCCATCTTATCCTCACAACAACAACCCTTGAGGTAGGTTGGGCTGAGAGTCTGTGACTGGCTCAAAGTCACCCAGTTGGCTCCATGGCCAAGCGGGGACTAGAACCCAGATCGTCTGAGTCCCAGTCCTGCGCTCTTAACCACTGCACCACACTGGCTCTCTTAATTATCAATTATTGCTGACAATTAACTTTATATTACCTATATGGTAGCATTATTTGCTGTAGGCACCAAGCAATTATGTGCTTATTTTATTAAGTTCATAATGTAAAGTTAAGGATTATTAATTATTGCAAACAGATGCATACTTTGTTACAGTGTAAAAGCAACTCACCTTGTTTTATCTTAATTTTATTTTACTATCATATTATCCATTAATTTGTCATGACTTTTGGCTATATGCTACAAGACTGTTTCCTTGATTCAGACAGTTATAATATTAATGTTATAATTACAATTATTACATGGTAGTCTGAGGCTTTCGTCACAAGCTAATTCATTGGAACATAGCAGCAGCTATTTCTCTCTCTCTCCATGTAATAGTCTGTGATGGTGTAGTGCAATCATGCAGAAATATTCTGAAGCAACCATACACAGGTTACCTTTGCAGTGCTTTCTGTTATTACTCTTTTTCACCTGACTGGAAGCTTTTAATGGGGAGGAGAGAGAAGTGAAACCAAGATCATGACACATCGCAAGTTAGAAAAAGATTCATATGGATCAGGAAAGCAATAAAGGCCAATAATCACCCCGGATAGGGGTACTTACACTGCACTTTTGGGATAAAGGTTGAAGAGGTCTGACCCATAGCTAATATAATTTGAACAATATAATGTCCACAGTATTGATTTAAATGGCTTCCAGATGGAAGGTGTTTAGCACTATGAATCAAAATATATTATGCAGATAGTTCTAATTTTTCTCAGTCTTTTTTTGAAAATAAAAGTCAAAACCAAGAACAACAGTGATGCTAGAAAATGCAGAGTATCATCTGCAGGTGAATTCCCAGCCGACAAACAATAGAAGGCACAATTATGTGTTGCTTCACCAGTAAAGGACTAATGCAACAGGCTCCACAGTTTGAATACAATACTCAAATATTAACCCGACCTTAACGACTGTTCCTAGGATTACCGTGTTGTGGCCATGCTAGTTTTTGCAGCACTGAAATACGAATTATTAATAGGTAACTCTGACATCTCGTGGCCATTCAAATTAACTTCAGGGGAAACCTCTTTGTAATCCCAAGTAACTAATACTTTAAAGCCGTTTTTTTAAAATGTCAGCGAGTTTAATAGTATTGATTTTAAGCAGCATAAAGAAACCAGGTTCGATCCTTCATTTAGAAGAGAAACTCGATGCAACCACCTCTTCCCAAGCCCTGTTCGGATGGCAGTTCCGTGACACGACCATTTATTGCTTGCACGAATTGATTCTGAATTCGGGGGCAAGAAGAGGCAATACTATCTTTTCTAGCTAGCCAGAAAAAGTGCAGTGATTTCTATTAGGAAAGAGCCCGGGGCACAAACGTGCGTTCGCCGATTCGAAAGCCCCTGTTCTTAGATGCGTGTGATGCTGCGGATACTTGTTGGAAAAGGTGCGAGCACTCAGTGCATGTTCAGAAACACTCCTTTCAATTATTACTTCACACGTCTGAGGCTGTTCCCGTGCCCGAGTTATGCTTATTTCACAGGCGGTATTCATTATTACCACAGGCCAAGCAGACCTTCGCTCCTTCCCACATGACGTGAGGAACCGCTCCATACAAAAGGCAGCAGTCAAATGATGGAGCACACACGCAGGTCAGGGGATGCTCACCTTCCTATTTTAATTTCCCACTCGCCTCCGGTTTCGCTAGGCGCTCATCTGCATCCAAAGACTACAATACCCAAGATGCAATTCGAGGCCTCCTCTTTCCCCGCCCCCTCACACACTTTTTTCCTTTCTCCTTTTCCCCAGGCCTCTCCTTTCATAATGTTCATAAAAGACGAAATGAAAGCGATTGTCTCATTCGTTTCAAAGAAAGGAAGAAACGTTGGGGCAGGACTTACACACACGCGACCAGTAGTATTTCCCCCTCCTTCACTTGAAACCAACGAGAGGTAACGGAGATGAATCCGGAAGAGGAAGTATGTGCCTGCGGGGCCCCGCCTTTTCCGCCGGCCTCCATCTTGTGCGAGGCAGCCGCGCGAGTTCTTACCGCGTTGTCTGCTCTTGCCCGCCAGCCTCGAAGTGCCTCACCATGACGGACCGTTACACGATCCACAGCCAGCTGGAGCATCTGCAGTCCAAGTACATCGGGACGGGCCACGCGGACACCACCAAATGGGAGTGGCTGGTGAACCAGCACCGGGACTCCTACTGCTCCTACATGGGCCATTTCGACCTGCTCAACTACTTCGCCATCGCCGAGGACGAGAGCAAGGCCCGCGTCCGCTTCAACCTCATGGAGAAGATGCTGCAGCCGTGCGGGCCGCCAGCGGACAAACCGGACGAGTCTTAAGCCGGGAGCCTCGCCGCCGCTTGGTGCTTTCCTTCACCACGGACCGAGGCCGCGGGAGAGAGAGAGACAGGGCGGAGCGGGGCTGCTCCCCGGCCCCGAGGTGCGGGCCCGAGAACCGCTGGACTGTTCGTTGGCGCCGCGGCCCACCGAAGCTCGGCTCTTGGAGCCCCTCGCAGCCAGGAGGGCTGTTGATGACCGCCTTGCCGCGACAGGAGCGGCGGCAAGCCGCGCCCGCCGGACTGAGGCGGCCCGCAGCAGACTTTCTCCACAGCCTCGCTCTTTCGGGCCCGGTCAGCCTGCGCGCGGGTGGTGGCATTTCGGGACTCGTCACTGCGGACTGGTGTTCTCTCCAAAGCTTGCTAGCGTTTCGGTAGCTTTTTTTTTAAATAAATGCATTGCCGGGTGTGTTCTAATCCGTGTGCGTGAATTTTTAATTCAGTTAGAAAACTCATGAACAAAGGGCAAATGCTACCATATTAAATGCAGTTGTCAGATTGCTCTAATAGTCGTAGTGGGTGGATAGACAAAAGACATCAATGGTTTTCGCTTCAATTGAGAGTTGCCGCTATGGGAGGGTTTTGCTGTTCCTACTGATCTTGCTATGGGAGGGTTTTGCTGTTCCTACTGATCTTGCTGATTTTTTTTTCTTCTTATTTAACAAAGGCAGACAATTCCCAGAGTTCATGGGCTGCACCGAAAAAAATTAAAATAAGCTAAATTTGACATCCTAAGGATTCCATAGTGTCAGAAGGATCATTTTCAAAACAAATTTGTGCTATCACTGAATTCGGTTAGGGGCCACACTGAGGGGAGATTAGTGGAGCTGCATACAGATTGCGGGCCACATGTTGCCCACCCACTTGCAAACCCAAGTGGCAAACCCAAATTACGTACAGCTAACAAATACCTTTAAAAATGTACATGGAAAACATGAAGCAATTAGCAACACAGTGGAGTGGACTCTTAATATGTACAATATTATCATTTGGAAAAATTAAGTCCATACGAATATGATTTTGCTTGTTTTATTGCATAGTTCAATTCATCATACAAGTCTTCAGAGATGCAATGCTGAATCTATTGGTGAACTAGTTTGCTGATCTCTAGGTGTAATGCTGTAAAATGTAAAGGCGGCTATTCAAAGACCTAGGAGGCATGTTTGCCTTATCTTCTGCCCTGTGCTGGAGCCCTAAAAGCATTAAACCATCAGATAAGTGGTGAAATAAAGTAATCATAACAGAAACATGATGTGTTTGTTACTACAATCCTAAAAAAAATTTCCCAGGAATTAAGCTCCTGAGCTCAGAGGGGCTTAATGTAAATGTGTTGAAGATTACACAGTATAGACTACAAAACATTTTGTCATTTTTTCCATTTCTGACTGACCACACAAGTTAGTAGGTACAGGAAGGAATGTGAAAATCATCTTTCAAGTTACAAGAATACACTACAGCAGGGGTGGGCAATTAATTTTCCTATGGGGCCACATAAATTTTGACAGTTGTTAAGGGCCGGACCAATACACTTACAGGTCTGCTCAATATATATCTCTATAAAAACAGTAAATGAAACATTACAATGATACAATGAAAATGTGGAGCACAGAACAACACTAATGAATATTCACAAAAACATTAACATTACATGAAAAGCAATAAATTCAATTTAGCAGATCCTTCAAAATAAAAGCAGTGCAGTTGTATTGCTTGCATCTACATTACGATGATATATATTTGCATTGACTTGTAATTTGCCAGTGACCTCATGCGGGCAAGTCAGGGTCAGCTATCGGGCCGGATGTGGCCCGCGGGCCGTACAATGCCCAGGTCTGCACTACAGGAATCAGCAAAGTTTTATGGCTTGCAAACTTTGGAAGTGCCATATCAAAAACATTCTATAGAGATGCCTTATGGTATGTCAGAAAAAGTACAGAGTGTAACACACTGATAAGACAAAAATAAGGAAAAGATTGGTGACTGCATAGTGATAGGGTAAGAAACCAGATCCTTTGGACAGTTACCCAGATATGAGTCCCACTGAACTCTAGTAATTGTACAAGAAGATTGGATTGCACACTATATGCATGTAATTGAGGCAGCAAAGGAGAAAGGGATTGCAAATAAGCAATAAGCTTAATTCAAGTGGATAACTGGTAGCAGATGCGTTTGCACAGGATATGAGGAGTGGGAAACCAGGAGAGAATTTGTACCATTAAAGGAAATAGACCCCAGTTCTCAAGCTATTGAAGGAGCTTATGTTGATGTGGCTTAATAGGCCTGGAAGTTCACAAGAAAACTCAGTATGTAGGATCCATTTTTAGAACATACCACATTACTGAAGCCTGTGATACAGGGGTTGGTACCAAGAATGGGGGCTAAGTTTTGAAGAAACCAGAATTAGCTCCAATGACTCCTGAAGAGATTTTCTACTATTATGGCTGCAATCTAGCACAAGAATTAAGTGTGCTTAACTCAGGGTTGGATTGTAGCCTGTAAATTTTCAGAATTAAATACTGCTTACCCAGACTCCTTTCCAGACTTAATAGCAGATGTTTTCTGTGTTGTTTCAATAGAAGTTTCAACAGCATGACCTTGAAAATAATAATAGTTTTGTAAAGACTTTTGCAAAACTATGGGCTGGGAATGATCCAGCAGAAGTCAAGCACTTGGAGGATATATTGATTTTGATAAGTGATCTATGCACTAATATTGCTGTCTTTCATTAAATTCAGTGTGTTTTGGAGTGCTTGACTGTAGTTTGATTATCCCAAACTCACTTTTCTGAGCTTTGGTTAAAAATATCAGTCCTACTTCTTTCATGGCACCATTGTAAAATACAAGGCAAGGACAAGGGGTAGGCCACAAAAGAATTCTGAATATTCATTATAACCAAACCAAATCTTATATCCTTTGTCCTCTCTACCTGCATCCCTAGAAATTTTTATATACCAGCTTCTCTGCAATTTGCACGAATAACCGCAAAATAATACCTATTAAATATCCATTAAAATGCTATAGTATATATAACATTAAAATGTTACGGTACGGAATATCAAACTACAGAATGCCACACATTTGCCTTTATACCTGTGCTCTACACTGTTCTAATGAGTTTCGAACAATCATACCACTTAGCTTATCAAAAATGACAAGGCAGAAGCCCATCCTTAGTATAGCATTCATGTAAGCAGTGAACAAAACCCAGAATCTCTCTTCAGGGTTGTTCTAAGCTTTCCAGTTAATGAAGTTGTGTGAAATACTTGGAATCCTTGCAAATACCAAATACTTACAGATTTGGAGGTGCAGTTCAGGTAAGATGAATTTCTTCTCTATCTTTAAGTATTTCTAAACATTAAAGCAACATGTTTTGTCCCTTACCTGATACAGGTTGGGTTGGATTGGAGCCTTCTTGTGATTTGTTCCGAAGCAGTGTTCCCACAGCACTTGTTAAAGTTGGTTCTTTCTTAGGAGTTGCTTGTTTCCCCTGGAAAGAATGCAACAGATACCGCAAGAGCTCCTTGGCATAGGCTGGTGATGCAAAATAGTTGCTCTATCACATTTGTATCCTGACTGTTCAAGAAGGTGGGCAGGGGTTTCTCCCATTTTATCATATCAATAACCCTTTGAAGTCTGTTCAACTGAGAATGACTTGCCACCACTTGATCCCCAGTGAACTTCATGGCTGGGAGAATTCATAGCTGGACTATTTCCTCAATACAGTACTACCAAATACATCACAATGGTTCTCAACTAATTAGGCCTTATTTTAGCCACATTTCCTAGAAAACTCCCTCATAAGTTTCACATAGCCAGAAAATCTCTTCAAAATTCTTCATATGTGTCCTACCAAAATAGGAAATGTTGCAGAGGAGATCTAACTGGAGCATGGGAAAGCTCTTGCTTCTGGGGACATGCAGATAATGTGTAGTTGGGGCTGGGAGGCTGGCATGAAATAACAGTAGCAGGTCTTGCCTCACGACTTACAGCAGGGGTGTGGCACAGTTTTTAGAGCTACTATCTTTGTAAGCCAAACTCCATCAGTGATCACTGGATATTACAGGAGCAGATCAAAACATTTGAAGCACACCAGGTTGCCTCCTCATGACCAAAATGGGTGGGTGATGGAAGCAGAATAGCGGGAGCTTGCTGAGGTCAGCCCCACCTAGGTAGATGTCCAAAAATACCTTGGCCTGATTTTGCAGGGTTGGAATGGAAGGAAGGGAAAGAAGAAGACTAGGAGAATGTTCTACAACTTTTCCATCATATTCTTCATTTCCACAGAGGGGCAGCTGGGTGGTAGTTCTCTATTTTCCCCTTCCTTTGCCTAATTTGCTTGTGTGTAAGAAGTAGTCCTTCTGTAGGTTGGTGCCCTCCAGGTGTATTAGACTACACTTGATCATTGGCCATGCTGGCTAGTGTGGATGGGACTTGTAGTAACACAGGTTGGGAAGGGCTGTAAGAAGACTATGTGGTGCAGTTTGACCTTATGCCCCCACCAATATCTATCTGTCTGTCTGTCTGTCTGTCTGTCTGTCTAACAAAAGGAAAGTTGGCATGTGTCGAGAGCCATCAAACACTGTTGTACATAATCTGAATGTTCTGGCTAAACCTAAATAAAGTACTCCTTCATGGATCACTGCCTTGTTGTGGTGAAGGGGCTTGTGTAGCTCAATGAAGCTATGAGCTATGCCATGCAGAGCCACCCAAGACGGACAGGTCATAGCAGGGAGCTCCGACAAAATGTGATCCACTGGAGAAGGAAATGGCAACCCACTCCAGTATCCTTGCCGTGAAAACCCCATGGACAGTACCAAAAGGCAAAAAGATATGATGCTGCAAGATGAGCCCCTCAGGTCGGAAGGTGTCCAATATGCTACTGGGGAAGAGCAGAGGGCTAGTACTAGTAGCACCAGAAAGAATGAAGAGACTGGGTCAAAGCTGAAAGGACACTTCTGGTGGTGAAAGGAGAGTCCGATGCTGCAAAGATCTATACTCCATAGGAACCTGGAATGTAAGATCCATGAATCAAGGCAAGCTGGATGTGGTCAAACAAGAGATGAGAAGACTGAGCATCGACATCTTAGGAATCAGTGAACTAAAATGGACAGGAATGGGTGAATTTAATTCAGATGACCATCAGGTATACTACTGCGGACAAGAATCCCTCAGAAGAAATGGAGGAGCCTTCATAGTCAATAAAAGAGTAGGAAAAGCAGTACTGGGATACAATCTCCAAAATGACAGAATGATCTCAGTTCAAATCCAAGGAAAACCATTCAACATCACAATAGTCCAAATCTATGTCCCAACCACTGGTGCTGAAGAGGCTGAAGTTGACCAGTTCTATGAAGGCCTACAACACCTTCTAGAATTAACTCCAAAAAATGATGTCCTTATCATCATGGGGGATTGGGATGCTAAAGTAGGAAGCCAAAAGATAACTGGAATAACAGGCAAGTTTGGCCTTGGAGTACAAAATGAAGCAGGGCACAGGCTGATAGAATTTTGTCAAGAGAATACAATGGTCATAGTAAACACTCTTTTCCAACAACCCAAGAGACAACTCTACACATGGACATCACCAGACAGTCAACACAGAAATCAGATTGACTATGTGCTCTGTAGCCAAAGATGGAGAAGCTCTATACAGTCAGTAAAAACAAGACCAGGAGCTGACTGTGGCTCAGATCATGAGCTTCTGGTTGCAAAATTTAGGCTTAAATTGAAGAAAGTAGGGAAAAACACTAGGCTGCTCAGGTATGACTTAAATCATATCCTTGATGAATATACAGTAGAGGTGACAAATAGATTTAAGGAATTAGGTCTGATAGACAGAGTGTCTGAAGAACTATGGATGGAGGTTCGCAACATTGTACAAGAGGTAGCAACTAAAACCATCCCAAAGAAAAAGAAATGCAAGAAAGCAAAACGGCTATCTGAGAAAGCTTTACAAATAGCTGAGGAAAGAAGGGAAGTGAAAGGCAAGGGAGAAAGAGAAAGATACACCCAATTGAATGCAGAATTCCAGAGAATAGCTAGAAGAGATAAGAATGCCTTCTTCAATGAACAGTGCAAAGAAATAGAAGAAAACAATAGAATAGGGAGGACCAGAGATCTCTTCAAGAAAATTGGAGATATGAAGGGAACATTTCATGCAAAGATGGGCATGATAAAGGACCAGAATGGCAGGGACCTAACAGAGGCAGAAGAGATTAAGAAGAGGTGGCAAGATTACACAGAAGAATTAACGTCCCTGATAACCATGATGGGGTGGTCACTGACCTCGAGCCAGACATCCTGGAATGTGAAGTCAAATGGGCCTTAGGAAGTCTGAGCAACAAGAAAGCTAGTGGAGGTGACAGTATTCCAGTTGAGCTATTCAAAATCTTAAAAGACAATGCAGTAAAAGTGCTACACTCAATATGCCAGCAAACTTGGAAAACTCAACAGTGGCCACAGGATTGGAAAAGGGCAGTTTACATTCCGATCTCAAAGAAGGGCAATGCCAAAGAATGTTCAAACTACTACTGCACCATTGCACTCATTTCACATGCTAGCAAAGTTATGCTCAAAATCCTACAAGCTAGGATCCAGCAGAATGCGGACCAAGAACTACCAGACGTACAGGCAGGATTTCGAAGAGGGAGAGGAACTAGAGATCAAATTGCCAACATACGCTGGATCATGGAGAAAGCTAGGGAGTTCCAGAAAAACATCTACTTCTGCTTCATTGACTATGCTAAAGCCTTTGATTGTGTGAATCACAAGAAATTGTGGCAAGTTCTTAAAGAGATGGGAGTACCAGACCATCTTATTTGTCTCTTGAGAAACCTATATGTGAGTCAAGAAGCAACAGTGAGAACTGGACACGGAACCACTGATTGGTTCAAAATTGAGAAAGGAGTTCAGCAAGGCTGTCACCCTGCCTATTTAACTTATATGCAGAGCACATCATGAGAAAGGCGGGGCTAGATGAATCACCAGTTGGAATTAAGATTGCTGGGAGAAGTATCAACAACCTCAGATATGCAGATGATACCACTCTCATGGCAGAAAATGAAGAGAAACTAAAGAGCCTCTTGATGCGGGTGAAGGAGGAGAGTGCAAAAGTTGGCGTGAAACTCAACATTAAGAAAACTAAGATCATGGCATCCGGTCCTCTCACTTCCTGGTAAATAGATGGGGAAGAAATGGAGGTAGTAACAGATTTTATTTTCCTGGGCTCCAAGATCACTGCAGACAGGGACTGCAGCCAAGTAATAAAAAGATGCTTGCTCCTGGGGAGGAAAGCTATGGCAAATCTAGACAGCATACTAAAAAGCGGAGACATCACCCTGCCAACAAAAGTGCATATAGTCAAGGCTATGGTTTTCCCAGTTGCAATGTATGGCTGTGAAAGCTGGACCATAGGGAAGGCTGAGCGCCAGAGGATTGAGGCCTTTGAATTGTGGTGCTGGCGGAGACTCCTGCGAGTCCCTTGGACCGCAAGGTGATCAAACCAGTCAGTCCTAGAGGAGATCAACCCTGACTGCTCTTTAGAAGGCCAGATACTGAAGATGAAACTCAAATACTTTGGCCACCTAATGAGAAGGAAGGAGTCCCTGGGGAAGAGTCTAATGCTGGGAACAATAGATGGCAAAAGAAGAAGGGGACGGCAGAGGATGAGGTGGCTAGACGGAGTCACTGAAGCAGTTGGTGTGAGCTTAAGTGGACTTTGGGGGATGGTGGAGGACAGGAAGGCCTGGAGGAATGTTGTCCATGGGGTCGCAATGGGTCAGACATGACTTTGCGACTAACAATAAATAATGTGCTGGACAAAAATAATTGCTCATTTGTGAAAGAAAAATTAAAACATCTGTCTGCTGAACAAGCTCTGCTAAGGATGGAGCTGAAATTCTTTCCAGGATCCTCTTGTGCATTTTAATCCTTTCAATGACTGCTATGAGTTTGATATCTAGAACAGCTATTAACTTTGATCAATAATGCATCAGTCCCTGTCCGCCTGAAATGTTTTCTTTGAGCTGTGCACATTCTTCCTGGAAATGTCTATTCCTTTATAATTATGTCTTCAGATTGCTGTGATTTATCCCATATCATCACTGTTATTTTTGGTAGCTTAGAAAAGATAACCTGTGAAAACATTTTGTTTTTTATACTTGAGTTTAAAATTCTAATCAAAGGACAGCTTTTGAGGATAAAACAATTCACTTGAGGGAATGAAAGAGTGGCAAAGGTTATTATTGGAAAAGAAAATATTTTCTTTAAACATGTATCCATTGGCCAAAACCAATATTTTCCTCCATTTTATTTAGAGTAAGGGAAATGGCGGGGGGGGGGGAATCCTTTGGGTAGACTGCCTTTTCTGTAACATTTTCCCTCGGCTTTGTATGTCTTATACTGCTTGCCACTTGAAGACGGTAAAAGTGTAAGTAATAAATAGCTTGAAACTTGAATTACTTACAGCGGGTGCCTTGGCTCCTTTCTGTCCTGGAGCAAAAGCTCGCCTGGCAGCCTGTTCTTTGCAGAAATTGATGTGCCTTTCTGCTGCAGTCTCATTAAACCTTCTCATGCAGTAAGGGCACTGAATATAATCTGAATGCAGCAAAGCAACAGCGGTTAATTAAAAAAATCTATTTGTTAAGTATGGTAGAGATGACTTGCTATGCAAGTCCTAAACAAGAAATGATACAATGTATATTATGTCCTGTTTTAAGTAAATAGTTTTCAGAATTATGCAGCTTTTCAAATCATACAGAACAGAAACAGAAACAAAGTTAATTAATATTCAGCCATGTGAAATATTAAGGAGGTTACATTTGCAAATATATTTGCTTATTTGTTTTTTTAAGGCTTTTATATCCCACCCTTCACAATGTCACAGGGCGGAAATGCAATAATATAAATAAGATACAGTATCCAAATTGTAGTAGATAAAATACAATCTTAAAGCACTACTAACATTTCAAATAATGGGAAAATAAAAAGGATTTGGCTTGATGCTGAAATGAAAAAAAGCGCTGGTGCCAGGCGCACCTCTCTGGGGAGCCCATTCCACAGCTGGGGTGCCACCAGAGAGAAGGCCCTTCTCCAGGTAGCCACTCTTCTGATCTCCTTCGGACCTCTGCTCCAGATCTTAGGGGATGGGCAGGTATATATGGAAGGAGGCACTCCTTCAAATATCCAGGTACTCAGCCATTTAGGACTTTATAAGTCATCACTAGCACCTTAAATTGGACCCAGACTTCAATTGGAAGCCAGTGCAGATGGTACAGGATTGGTGTTATGTGTGTTTATCTGCTGGTCCCTGCTAGCAACCTGGCTGCTCTATTCTGAACCAATTGAAGTGTCCGGACCATCTTCAAGGCCTGCCCCATGTAGAGCGCATTACAATAATCCAGTTGGGAGGTTACCAGAGCATGGGTCACTGTTGCTAGTTCATACTGTTATTTCGTTCATGTTATCACAGCTCATTTAGTCAGTTCATAGTGCTTTGACTATAAGATTTCCCTCTCTTGACAATTACTGAAAAAAATTTACAGGCTGCTGTAATTAGGCAAGGACCAGGATCCAGAGAAATGTTTGGGCATCTGCTATTTTTCATAATTTTCCTTTCAAGGCTGTCTCCAGGCTTTGAAAACTGCTAAACTCCTATGAGTTAAAAACACAGTTTTGGGGTAAAAGGGAAGCCAGATGTTAATTACATTGCCCACACCACCAGGAGATGCAAGGACATTTTAAACCATAAAAATATCTTTTTCCAGTTATCATTTTGAGGGATTGAGTTACTATACCCAACTCACATACTTCTTGGATAGCAGGGTAGGGCCAGATTAAAATATCAATATTGAAGTCAGAATAAGTAAATAAACTTGCATAAATGTGCTCAATTTTCACCAAATTACCTTGACCAGAAAATTATTTTGTCTGTTTTGTTATATCATGATGCAGAAAGTTTCTATTACAGCTAATGCTCAGGAAACAACTTTAGCTTGTTTAGCTGCAAAGGGGAATTTTTCAAGGAAATGTCTCATTGGCTAGTTAATTATTCCTAAATAGGAGATTGTATTGCAATGTTTTATTTTTCTTTACCCTTCTCTTTTAATGAAGCTTATATAATGACTTCTCTCAAGGGAAATAATTTTATGTCATATTCTAATTATACACTTATTTCCTGAGTAAATGTGAATGCCAACTTATTTACAGCTACAGTTTTACTCATCCATCTCAGGCTGAATTTGTATGGGGCTACCAAGGACATGATAAAATTAGAATTTTAATTGACATACTAGACTTATTTCAAAATAAGCAAAATCCCCCAATACCTTTTTGAATGTGGAGAGAAATAAATATGAGGTGAAAATAAATGTGATCAAGGTGAGTTCAACTCTGAAGTTATTCTAACAATTCCTCCTATTCTTACATCTTCATGTGATTTTTAAGTGAATTTATAAATCATTTAATTTTCTTTGGGAAGTACACCTATCTAGATTTTCAGTACACAAATTACAACTACCTATTGGGGTGGGGGGGGGGTAGAGTTAATCTTCCAGAACTCCAAGCTTATTATTGGGCCTGTCCCCTAGTTCTGTTACAGGTACAAATAAAGAGTTTCAAAACTTAGTTCCCCTTTAGGCTCAAGTTGAGATGTATTACCTGACTGTTGAAATCTTAGGAAGTAATAGGTTTCTTATTTATTTGGGGATCTGCTTTAATGCTGCAAGATATATACTGGGGTGGCCAGACTTGCTCAATGGAAGAGCCACATATGGTAAATGTCAGATGTTTGAGAAACGCAAGTGGCCGCCTCTAGGTGGCAAGCAGGGCCCACGGGCAGTGGCTGCAGGCAGCAAGCGGCCAGTGGGCACCCACGGGTGGTGAGCCACATGCCACAAATTCAAAGGGCCACATGCAGCTCCCAACCCTCAGCTTGACCCCTGCCCCCCCCCATATATATGGAAAGTATTGGACTATAGGCACTGTTTTGACCTCTTTATCCACGACATATTCAAAAAGTTGTTTTAAAATAGCTCATAGATCAAATTGGGCTTCCTACAGTATTGACACGTAGCTCCTCTGACACACTTCAGCAAACCTTGATGTATTAAAAACTTAGTTTGATTTCATTTGTTGGCATTTAATTCATCTTAGACATTTGTTCAGTTTTTTAATTCCAGTGCAAAGTAACTTCTAACGTTCTATCTTTGTTACTTGATTTTGATCTTTTGATGACTCTACCTAACCATGTAATTGACTTATCAGAAACTCAAAGATACAGATAACATTTCTATCTCAGGGATCTTTAAAAATGAACCAGAATATCCTATTCTTGGAAACCAACGATGCACAACCAAGGATGCACTATAGGACGGCTGCATCAGGTGTTTGCTGGGTAAGGAGCTACAGATCCATGCATAACACACACACCTCACTCACATCCCTTCCCATAACTTTTACAACCAACATTCTCCCCATGCCATGCCATCAAATTTTTAATTTTTGCATCATGAGGGAAGGAGTACGTTACACTGGGATTTTTGCAGTGTACTTGACGTACCAGTGGCATTAGTATATTCTCCTTTTCACCCCTCTGACCATTCGTATGCAAGCCCAAAATGCTTGAGTACCTTAAAAAAGGAGGTTTACTCTTGAGATGTACTTTTATTCTTCATGGTAGTAAAATAAAATAACAGCATCCTTATCACGAGAAAGCAGCTGAACTTGAATACCAGAAGTCAGAGAATGAAGCAGTGGTGGTTGTTAATGTAGCATTTTAATACGTTTCGTCTTTTTAGTTTGGATGCTTCTGCAGCAATCCCAGTGATCCTGGATCTCTGTTTTCCATTTTATAGAGAGAGAAATAAGGTGGAGAGATGCCCTTGCACAAGGCTGCCCATGGCTGAATTGCAACTGCTGTTTTGCCAAGTGAGAGCCCAGCACTATCCACTGGCTCTGGTTACAGCCAGCTGTTTAAACAAGGTATTCGATGCATTTTTGTTAAAGACGACACAGCATTTCAGGACAAGGGAATCACCTGGGTTGATGGTTGGAGGTGGAGGCGGTGGCAGGGGGCGGCCTTCTTTCATGGCTATAGTGGCAAGTTTGGCTGCTCTGATTGCAGTAATGAAATTCTCGTGCTGCTGTCTCCAGTTAGATTTTTTCTCCGGTTGGTTCTGGAAAGGGTATATTTGAATCCACCCAAAATCTATTATTTGTATCAATCAGAACATACATTAAATAAAGGCATAATCCTAAATTATTTTGAAAGCAAATTCAAGAGATAATAAATGCAGGGATAATGATAAAATAGTAATAAAACCATTAACAATCTAATAATAGCTATTTAACACAGGTTTATTTATGTCGCACATTGCCCTGGTTTACTTGCACCAGGAACTCAGAGGGGAGGTGCAGCTGCAGCTGCCACCACTGCCACCAGACAGGCTAGTGGGTAGGTGGATGGTGGCCTGGATGTTGGATAGGTGGGAAGGCTTGTGGACCTAAGTGGGCAGAAAGCTCGAAAGAGGGACGGGGTGTGGCAGATAGTAGATGAGTAAGGGCAAGAAATTGAAGAATTATGATACAGTCCTATTTTTTTCTCTTACTTGAGATGCCCATTATGGACACTTAAATTTGTATCTGTGAGACAGGAAATACAAATTTTAATATGGACCTAAAAGGGGCAATCTCCCAAATCTGACTCTTTGAATAGTGCTTTCCCCAAATGGTTGCTTAAATCTCAGAATTAAGGAGAGAGGAAGAAGAAAGATTATACACCATCTGTTATCAGATAAAGAAATGGAAGCAGATTTCCAGGCGATAAACTGCAACTCTGTACAATAGAAACTATTATGGACCTTTCAACCCTCATTATTTATGGAGTCTTTGGGTATAGAAATCACACGTCCCCATCCTTCTCCATGATGAAAATTCCTGTTCATACAGTATCAGGAAACTTAGATGCGTGCTGGAGCCTAGTGTCTAAAATATTTGAGTGCCATGAGCCTATTTTAAAGGTACCTTTGCGGGTGGCTTCTTCTTTATTGTCAGGATTTCAGTTCCCTGCAGTCGCTGTTTCAAGGAATCGAATGGCTTCCGCTTTTTGTTGAAAACTTTTCTGCATATTGGCACATGTCTTGTCTAAGACACAAAAAGAAACATGACCCCTTTTGCACTAATATTGCTACACATTGCTATACTGAGTTCAATGTAGGGTTCTAGAAATTCAAAAGGAGAAGCTGTGATGATTCTGGCCTACTTGATAAACTCATTTTGGGTGTCAGAAAAACTATGCCTGCTGTGTGTGTTTTCCTGTGTTTGGATTGCATTACAGCCATGGGACAAAACTGATTATTCTGTCAAATCTGCCTATCCTTCTTGGGATTTTCAAGTCCAGTATTAATACAGGATGGAGTTCCCAGCAGAGATGAGGCTACTCAGCATGAAATCATTCATGACTTTAACAGCTCTCATGGGCCCAGGACCTTGGAGGTTTGGGGATATGATCTTGTTACCAAGCTGCGATGTTTTGGAATTTTAAAAGGAGGAATCAGTAATCTGTTCTCTTCTTTTTCTTCATGCTGATTCTTAAGAGATGCACTTATAAGGACTATGTGGCTTTGCAAAAGCTGCTTCAAGCCAAGAATAACATAGGAGTTACATGGTTATAGCCATGCTGGGCTTTCTGAAATGGTCAGAAAAAAGGACTTGTTCAAGTTTTAACTCTGATTCCCTCTACCTCCCTGTGGACCCTTACACAAACTAAGTAGAATAGAAAGGCTTCTGTTTAAATGATCCTAACTTTGCTATTTTTGCTACAATTTAGCTTCGTTGTAATAAAATTACCCCCTATTTACACGTTAGTATAGTTTGCAGTGATACATATTTTCTCAAAAGGACATGTACTTAGAAGTAATTCCCATTTTCAATTGATTTACTGACATTTAAGTGTTTAGAACTGCAGCTTTTATGCCTAGATCAGCAAAGGTAATCCAGTTTTTCCTCAGAGATTTTTTATTTCGGGGATCCATTTGGTCATGGCAGCTGCTGAAAAATAGTCCTTGCTAACATTAAGTCATTACATGGGCTTGGACTGAGAAACTTACTCATGTGCAGATCCACACAGGAGTTTAAAAAGGAAAGCAAAAACCTATCTGGAGACAACATTATTAGCTAGCGACCTGAATACATGCATTGGCCCAAACGGCTTACTGGCCAGTCACAGTGTGTGATGGGAAAAGCATGTGGCTGCACTAATGCAGGATCTAGAGGCCATCACAGGTGCTTATTCGAGCTTGTGATTCTGGAAAAATTGGATCAGGCAATTTCTAGAGGCTGAGGTCTGTGCAGAGCTACCATCTACTAGTAACTGCTATTTCTTCACACTGTATTCACATTTATGAATATCAATATTACACAAGCCAGTGTGGTGTCATGCTTAAGAGTGTGGGACTGGGACTCAGATGATCGGGGTTCTAGTCCCTGCTTGGCCATGGAGCCAACTATCTCACAGGACCTCACAGGACTGTTCTTGCAGGGATAAGATTGAGAGCAGCAGGAGGAGAATGATGTAAGTTGCTTTGAGTATGTTTTAAGAAAAATGCAGGATATAAATCAAAGAAATCAGTACCATGCCAGATTGGACCAAAGGCCTATCTAGAACAGAAAGCTTTAGTTACAGGGCAGTATAGAAAGAATTCTGTTCATACAGTAGCCACCCACAAGAAGGGCATGAGTGCAACAGTCTTCTGCTACTCTTGATCCTTTGCAACTTGCATAGAAAGGTATCCTGGCTCTGATTCTGGAACTGATACGTAGCCATCATGACCAGGAGTTGTTCAGGAAGAACGCTGCTTGCCTCATGCTAACTCCACTTATGTACTCCATGAAGAATGCTGCCATCTGTGAAAGCTGCTATTTTAAACAAAGCAACAATGGGGACTAGTACTAGGATTGCCACCAATTTCCTTTATTCTTTCAATGACTAAGGCTGCAATCCTCTAACCATCTATACTGGAGCATGCCCATTAATCAATGGGAGTAAATCCTAACCAGACATGCACAGAATTGAACTTAAAATATGATTTCTGCCACTTAGTACATCAAGTCTTATTTACCAGTACTCCTGGTGCAAACTTTCTTCCACAGATCTCACAAGGAAGCAAATTCTGGCTGCCCACATCTGTGAAAAATTAAGTATACTCTTTAACCAGGTTTTAGAATATCCAAGAAATATACAATGGCTCATTCTGAGAACATGTACAATTCCTACAGCCTTGCCTCTGAGCCAGCGCTTTTCTCCTAAGAATCTCTCAGGCTAATAGGGGCATGGGAGAAGAATTCTAGTGATATAGGAAACCAGCATCCAAAACATATTTTCTTTCCTAAACATGATTGCACAGTGAGTCAGCTTTGTCTCCATTAGGTCATCCATCTTCAACTTGGCAATGAAAGATGATTCTGCTAACTTGTCTAGTGTCTTCTCTTACTTTTGGCTCATTACCTCTAACAGGTTTCTTTATGCCACTTATGTAGATACAATTCTGACACAACTCCTGAATAAGTCTGTGCAATGACTGACAGGACAAATTCCATCCTCATATCACCTTTCAGAAACTATTTCTGGAATGTGTTTTAGGTGCAGCAGTTTGTTTTGAACACAGCTAGTTACAACTGTCATGTTGCAGGAAGACATTTGAATGTCTGTTTTACTTATTATTTTCAGGAGAATACAGTACATTTTGTGCATGAGATCACTCCAATAAGCACAGGATTCTACATATAAAATATATTATAGTTCTGTAAAATAGATCAAGTTCTGATATTACAACTGAAAATAGCTATCCTGTAATGACATAATTCTAGAATTATGACATACTGAAATATGGTCCTTCTAGGAATCAAAACTGGGATATTCTGTATAATCTTGTCTAACTTACCAGAACACCTACAAGTAAAGGAACTGTTGGATACAACACAGACATTTACAACGGGAAGGTTTATTTTTCAGGCACTGGGATACTCTGCTGTTTTTAAATAATTACTACATAAACTTAGGGCAACAAGGTATTCTGGTCACTGAAAAATACATCTGACAGACTTAACCTACAAAAGCAAATAGTAAGGTAATCCAGAGCCCAGCTATTCAAATAGTAATATGAAATGAACAATTCTTTTGAAAGCACTGGGAAAGCAATAGGCTGTGTGTATGCATTTATTAGTTGTGCTAAATTGAGTTTAATAGAGAAAGCACAATCTCTGCTCCATCCATAATATAAACATATTGTTCATGGCCTATTAGTATGGATGATGTGTTTTGAATATTTAGCATTTCTTTGGTGTTATTCCTAAGATCCTTTACATTTATAATTATTAGAAGGAGAATGTCTTCTCACTAATCTCACAGTGCTTGTAACTCAACTGTAATATGAGTATAATCACAATGGATAAATAATGCTTAAATAATGCTTAAATGGAGATAAATAATGCTTAAAAGAGTTTAATATAAGGGCCAAATTAACACTTTCATGGGTATAATCCAACAGGCCACACAGGGGTGGCGCAGGCATACTTTTCCCAACAGCTGCACCACAGTAAGCAGTCCAGGAGCACAAAGTGGACCACAGTACTGCTCTCACCCCCTCTTCAGTATTACACTTACACAGACCATTGTCATGTGAGCAGACTTCTGCTTGTGCAGCTTTCCTCTTCCTCTCCTTAGCCTGCACAACCTACAGATCAGTTCTGTAGAGTTCTGCAAGCTTCTGGAGCAGGTTAGAAGGGGCAATTCATCACTAAGACCTATTCTGCTCACAGCTAGACCCAATCCACTATTAAGATGAAGATTGCTTTTGACTCAGATGTGCAATCATGTTTTAAAGCAGTTTGCACATTATGATTTTAAACCAACAATAAGTAGATGGCTCTCAATACATCTGCAACGGAGCATCGTAGCTAGCTCTGAAAAAAGAGAAATATCTGTGGTTTTCCCTTCCTTCTAGGACAGGTTGCTTTGTCCCTTAACTACAGTTAGATCAGGAATGTGAAAGCTGTACTAGGCCATTCTGACAGTGAAATCTATTAGACTGAGTGAATCGAAGCATACTTAACTTCTGTTGAATAGTGCTCTGAGTCTAAGTTCCAAAGATGTTTCCTACCTAGTCCAAAGTCTTACTCCTTCTGTGTCATGTACACTTACTGTGCTAATATATGCAGTCATAACCACAGATATAGGAAACAGCACAAACATACGAAGAAGAAAGTGAATGGACAACCCAACATGCATCTAGCTTATGCGCCTCTGTTTGTATCAGTTATATGCAACCCCATCAATGCAGACAAGACATTGGCGTCTTTTATCTTCTTAAGATTGATATTATTCATAGACTCTTACCCAGTTAGAGGGGGAAAAAGCTTTTCTAATCATTCAGAAAGATATTGTAAGAAGGCTAATATGCTGCATTAGGATCCTGATTATCACATTGCTTGTGCTTACCAAAGCAGATTACACAATTTCTTCTGCTCAGGCCATTGGAGATCAAATTACACATCATACAAATATTAGCCAGGCTGGAATGTCTTTACCTAGATGTAATGACGAGCAGAGAGCCTGGGATACAATCATTTGAAGAGAGATAGTTATCTCACAAAATCTACTGGGAATAGTACATACCTGTGGTACTTGCTCTATTCCCAGTAACCACACTCATCTCATAGCGCAGTGATTTCAAATGCCCTCAGTACTTTTTCAGGGAGAGAGAAACAGCAGGTAGTTTACTTTTCCTCGACTAGATCCTTTACTTGCAAAAGCCCAGGTTAAATGTCATTGGCTAAGAGAGCAAACAATTATGACACACACAGCCTCTCTTATCATATAGTGATGCAGAGGAAAACTGAAGATAAACTGGTCTAAAGCTGTTTGCTTTTATATAAGATCTTTTCCCAAAGCACAATATAAATGCATCTGCTTTCTTTTGAATAATACAAAAGCTTGATATTTTGTTGCTTCTTTAGGTAGCAATGTATTCTAGAAATGCAGAAGGAATGAGATATGCTAGAAGTTAGCAGCTTATGTGGCCAAGGTGAACTTTTCACCATTTACTCTCATCTTGTATTAAATGTACAGAGGGAAACAAGTACTGCATAAATCACAAGATGTGGAGATAGCTATAAGCTTAGGAGAGGGAAGGGAAGGGAAAAATCTAGAATGACTGTAAACCATGCTAGATAAATGTGGATAATTTTCACATTCAGAGGCAGTATGAGTAACAGATGCTAAAGGAAGATCTCCCCTTTTCCTAGACCTGGTTCACATGACATGACAACCCATACTAGGTTGTCACACTGTTTGAACTCAGACCACTTCCCACACAGTGGCTTCTGTTGGGGTGACAAGCTGTTGACCACTCATGTATGTTCAGTTGATGAAAGGCTATCACGTTGTTCAAACCCGGAAGACCAATTTTCCATCACTAGTAGCAGAGATTGGCTAGCGACCTGGTTAGCAATAGCAGCAAACCCCCTTTGTGATCTCATCCATGCTGCCACCAGTGACAGCCCCACCACCACAACCCAAGCAGTACTTCAGAGTGACTGGCAGTAGTTCTTTGTCCATTTTTATTGAGCCCTAGAAACTTGCACAAGTGTTTTCTTCATTTTGTCCATGAAAGTGCACACATTTTTCAGGTGCATGCTTATAGCTGTCTGGAATGTGTAGTCTTAGCTTGTCGATGGTCTTACATGTTTTGGCTGTCAAAAGGAAGTAGGGTAGGTAACATGCATGGAAATGGACATGGCAAGACTGCAGGTAGGCTCATTTGCACAGTTACCAGATGCCAATGGAAAAAGCAGTGAAAGTAGGTATACCAAAAGGTAGTGGCAGTAATACAATCCTCTGGCTTTTAAATGTTGAATTGATAGTTCTCACTGTCTACTTCCCCAAGATTCCAGCCACTGCAAAAAGGGGGGGGGGGAATGTTAACTCTTCCCACACTTTTTGGAGCATTTACTGTTGCAGTTCCCTGACAGTTTTTTAAAAAACCCAGAGATAGCTGATGAAAGCAGTTGAGTGAATGTCACATCATGGAGACAGGAGAGGGCAATCTAAGTACCACTGGTGTTCCTTTTGCTCCATCCCATCATTCTTCCACTTTCAATTAAAAAAACAGCCATTGGGAACATTTGTGCCTTTTTTGGACAAGGAAGTGTATGCAGCTTTAATAGCCAAGAAGTAAAGTGAGAGAAAATTTAAGGGCAGGGAAGTGAATAGAAAGACAACTTAAGAATTATTGCACGTATGCAAATTTTCCCTCCATTTACTTCCCAGACATTACATTCACATCTATTCACCCAAAAATGTGCATTATTTAGAATGAGTAACTGCATTAATAAGTGCTGAAAAGGAGAGTTCAAAAAAATGGTTGGGAGTTATTATCTCCCCTATCTGTAGGAGCCAGAGAAACGAAAAAGCGCTGAGAAGGAGAGTAGCACTGAGAAGTTTCATTTCAATACTTTAAAGCCAAAGGACTACATTTCTAAGGGGAGGATACTGTTGCCACCCCCTTTTGATCCACCTACTTCCGCCACTTTTCTCATTTAGTTTTCAATGAACAGTAGGCAACTGTTCATCGTTCATTCTCAGCAAGTCAGTCTACACGTCTATTAACCACCCCATTTCCCTTTGACAACTGGAACTCACAAGGACATCGACCAGGCAACGTTAAACATATTGGACAGTCATAAGTATAAACTTGAACAGCTTGTAAAAGGTAGACAAAAACAGTTTAAGAATGAACACAATTTAAGCAATTTTCAGGGGGTGAAAAAGACAATGCTCATTGTAGTTTTTGAGGTTGGAAAAATAAATACAAGAATAGCAGGGTTACAATCAGTGGGAAAGGGAGAGAGAAGATGGGTTCTCTGCAAAGGACACTGGGAAAGCAACTGGAGGACTGAGGGGGAAAGAATGGGAGAACATGCCATGATGAACTTAAGCTGTCAAGCACACTGTGGGGTGTTTCAAGAGCAATCCGTCCCATGTGTCCTATTTGTTGGATAGCTTAGCATGACCTGTGATCACACCTGTACTAGTGTTCATGAGCTTCTCAAAAGTATCTGGCCAGCTACCATTGGAAAGAGTGTTGGATTCTTAGTATGATACTTCAAGGTACTTTTTAACATACTGACAGTCTCTGAGAAGCACCCAGTTCAAGTGAAATCATCATTAGGGGATGAAGAGGGAAAGGTTTTTGATTGTCTACATGTAGAAGAAATAAGCAAAACAGAATAACCAGTCAAAGAGGCCTAAGTACCAAAATGGAAGTTGCGCATGCCAGGTACATGTGAAAAGGGACATTATACAGCTGTTTCTAAGCAAATGCTGGAAGCCTCAGAGCCAAAATAGGAAAGCTGGAATGCCCAGTTGCAGAGATCTGAAATATAGTGGGTGTTATGGAAACCTAGTGGAATGGAGAGAACCAGCGGGACATGAGATAAGCTCTACAGGAAGAACAAGGAAGAGCATACCGGAGGCAGTGCTGCTCTGTACATCAAAAAGGGCAGAGTGCAGAAGACTTGAATATTTCAAAGGTGCAGACTCCTCCACAGAAACACTGTGCTTCATGATACCTGACTCAAGAATGGATTTAGTACTAAGAACATGCAATTATCACCCAGTCCAGAACATGCAGGGTGATCTTGTGATAGAGAAGGCCTCAAAATGAGGAAGTATGGTAATAATGGGTGACATCAACTGCCCTCACATTGACTGGAAAAATGCATGATCAAGTATGGACAAAAAGGTGTCATAAATGTTCCGTGATCCATGGATGGAACCAGCCAAAGGGGAGGCAATCCTAGTTGGGGTGGCCAGGACCTAGAATGAGATGTAAATGTCGTTGAACCAATTGTAATCACAGTGTTATCAGCTTTAATACATATTTAAGAGGAAGATTGCCAAAGAGGTCCTAAGCAGTCATTTTGACTTATCTAAAATGATGGAACTGGTAAAAAGGAAGTTGAAAAGGAACATCAAGTTCCTTCAAAATTACTCAAAATCACAGTAACAGTATGTTATGCCAGACAGGATGTATTCTTGAAATTAAGAAAGCTAGCACAAAGTCCAAAAGGACACCAGCATAGTTAATGAGCTGAGTCAGAGAAGCTATTAAAGAAAACCCTTCCTTCAGAAAATGGAAGTATTGCACAAATGAGGAAAACAAAATGGAGCACAGGCTTGCACAAGGCAAATGCAAACAGACAGTAAGAGTAAAATACAGTTATTTTATTTTACTGTATATATTTTAATTGTCATTGTTTTAATGTATTTGGTATTCGATGTTGTAAGCCGCCCCGAGGCCTTGGCAAGGGGCGGCATAGAAATGTTTTAATAAATAAATAAAATAAAATAAATAAAGAGAATCAAAGAAGCATTTTGAGAAGCACATTGCTAACATCAAGGCCAACAATCAATAATGCTTTAAATATATTAAAAGCGGGAAGCTAGCTAGAGTCACAGTTGGATTATTGGATGATAAGGGAGTTAAAACAAATATTGGGGGCGTATAAGGGTTAGGGAAGAGAAGCTGAATGATTTTTTCCCATTTATTTCCACAGGAGGGGATACAGGACTGATACTTGTTCCTGAACATTCAGGAAGGGAGCTTGAGAAACTAAAGCAAAGAGTGAAGACATAAGATGAAGTTCTCAACCTTATTGACAAATTGAAAGCTAATCAATCACTGGCCCCAGGTGGTACCCATATTTAAGAACTCAGGAATGATATTGCTGACTCTCCTACAAAAACAGACATGTTTTACATCAGAGACCTGGAGAATGGGCAATATAGCACTAATTTTTAGAAAAGAGATCTGGAAAATTACAGATCAGATAATATTGGTACCAGGTAAATTGGTTGAAAGTGTTATTAAAGATAAAATGAATAAGCACACAGATGGATGACCTCTGCTGAAAAAGAATCAACATGAATTCTGCAAAGGTAAGCCCTGCCTCAATTTTACAATTCTTTGACAATGTCAATAAACCAGGTGATCTGGTAGACATTGTTAACCTGGACTTGCAAAAAGCTTTTGACAAAGTCCCTTGCCAGAGACTTCTGAGCAAGCTGGGCACTCATGGAGGAAAAGCAGAGATCCATTTATGGTTAAAGCACTGGTTAAGGAACAGAAAGCAGAGGGTAGGAATAAAGGTGAATTCTCCCAATGGGGGCAAGTTCATTGTAGGATCCTACAGCAATTCACTTTAGACCAATGCTTTTCAACTTGTTTGTAAATGATCTGGAATTAGGAGCAAGCACTGACATGGACAAGTCTGTCGATGACACCCAACTATTTCGGATGGTGAAAACTAAAAGGGATTGTGAGGAGCTCCAAAATGATCTCTCTGAACTAAGAGAACAGTCATCAAAATGACAAATGTGGTTTAAAATAATGCACATTGGGGTAACAAAAATCTCAACTTCAGGTATAACCTGATAAGATCTGGGCTAGTTGTGACTGACAGAGAGATCTTGGGGTTGTTGGGAACAGTTTGATGAATGTGTCAACCAACTGCGCAGCTGCAGTGAAAAAGGGAAACTCTATGTTAGGCAAAATTAGGAAAGGAATTGAAAATAAAACTGCCAGTATCATACTGCCCTTATGCAAATCTATGTTGCACTTGCAGTTCTGGTCTGTACAGTTCTGGCCAATGGAAAAAATGCAGAAAAGGACGACTAAAATGTTCAAGAGGTTGGAGCAACTCCCCTATGAGGAACAGTTCTAACAGTTGAGTTTGTACAGCCCAGAAAAAAATGTAAGAGGAGACATGAGAAAGGTGTACTCAATTAAGAATGTACTTAAGAAAAGTGGAGGAAATGTTTTTGTCCCCCAACCCTAATTGTATTAAAACCTGGGATCTCCTAAAAGCTGATTGGTAGGAAATTTAAGACAGATGAAAGGAAGAACTTCTTCACAGAGCATATAGAATTCATTACCATTAAATGTAGTGAATTCTAGATGGCTTTAAAAAGGAATTCTGCAAATTCAGGAAGGTCAAGGCCATTGATGGCTACTAGTCCAGAAGCTCCATATGCTCCCTCCAGCACCAGAAGCAGTTGCTGGGGGACTTGGGCAGGACGATGCTGTTGCCCTCATGGCTGGTGGTGGGATCCTGTGGCAGCTGGTTGGTCATGGTGTGCACAGAATGCCAGACTAGATGGATGCCTGGTCTGGTCTACCAGGGCTCGTTGTATGTTCACACTTGTGTCAAAACTGGATCCTGTTCATTAGACTCTAGTTTTTGAACAGAGGAATGATAAGCTTATCTTGAACCCCATTATTTTTCTACAGCTAAGGAGTTTTCCCAAATCAATTTAAGTCAATAAACAGTTGGCATCACTTTTAAGGGAGAAAAATATTACAATGATTTTATTTTAATAATAACCAAAAATGAATTTACATTTAATCAAATACTTATTTTTCAAAGATTGTTGCTATGACTTTTAAACTTCAGTCCAATATACCACAGAAGAATCCTTTCCTAAGTAAGGTGTTCAATGCCTTTAAAATGAAGCAATTGTTTCCTTATGACAACTTGAGCCCTTGAATGTTCTGTTTTAGATTGAACAGTTCTTTCTCTTGCCTTGTCTTCTCTTGCTTGAAGGCCAGCTTGTTTGCTTTCTTCTCTATCCTGCGTTCCTACACAGAAAAATGGTTTCATTTTTATTCAGAATGTTTACATACCACTTCTCAACAAGGAGCTTTCAAGAGAGTTTACAAATAAACTAGGACTCCAATTACAACATCGTAACACATCCTAATGCTAAAGCTTGCTTACACTTCCAGCTGCGCTCTTCACTCTTGGCAGCCTTGATTGTGCAGATGGTATCAACAGCTTCTGGCTTTTGAAACACTTGGCAGAAGGGGCACAGACGCAGAAGAGGTGCTTAATATTTCACATGCAGATACTGCTGTATATTTCAGCATGTATGTTCCAGTACAGGGACTGGCAACCCAGCACTCTCCCGGCCCACCCACTGCTCCATCTCCTCTGCCCGCTCCCATTGCTTCTGCCTTCTGCCGCACTCAGCAACTAGGAAGGCAAGATGTTGGCAGACTGGGAGACGCTGCCCCATCTGCTGCCTTTCTGTTTCTTCATTGCTGAGGGGAGTGCAACAGCTGGAATAAAGTGAGGGTAACCACAGGGATGAATGGGGAAGTAGAAGGGGCTAAAGCAGCAGGGAAGGGAATAAGGAAGGACAGAAATCTTCAAGTCGAAAGGGCTGGGAGAAGGAAGAGGAGATGTGAGGAAAGTAGGAATCCTGGTAGGAAACATGCCCACAAGCATAAAAAAGAAATGTGAAATATGCTTGCAGGTCCCCAAAGGCTGCCTACTCCTGCTTTACAAAGAGGCTGCATATAGGAAACCCGGAACAATAAATCAGAAGTTAGTTTATCCCTATCGTTATCATGGGTTAGGGACTTTCAGTTCTTGGATTCTTTTAACACTTCTAGTGTAGTATCTCTCAAACTGAGTTTGCATTACCCTTCTAAATGTATTGTGTCATCTGCTCTCAAACAGAGTACTCAGTTATGCACACAAAGAGCTTACTACTTTGTGTAAAGATCTGGGTGAATACATTTCTTAGTGCTTCCAGAGTGTCTATAATGGAACCCCATAGAGAGTGCATTACATTAATTTGTGTGGAACTGGGGCATCAGTAGTTTGAGGCAAGGTCCGCTTTCTTCAGATATGGCAAACAAGCAAACTACTTAAGCTGCAAAAAGCACATTGTATAGGCTCCTCCCTCTTGACTGCTTCTACACTTAAGCTGTCTACTCTGCAAGCACTTCTGTCAGCTTCCCTTAACCCCGTGACTCATTCCAGTCCAGCCTAAGTGTCTTTTGCCATTGTACTGTGAATGCTTGGACATCTTCTGCTTCCTGTCAGTGTGCACCTTCACGTCCTTCCTTAAGCCTACTTTTCTGCAAAGTCTTGCTTGAGCCACTTTAACTATAGAGTTCCTTCATTTTTATCTCGCCATTGTAGCTTCATCAATAGCTGTTATTGGGCACTATCCTTCCATTTAATTTCTTCCCCATCTGCCGCAGCGTCAAACTTTTTACTAAGACACCAGCACTGTTGTACCCAACACACAGATATCTCATGTTCACTAACAAGTATGAAGCCATATGGCGCAACAACCTTGCTGAAGTTAAGTATCCCTGGTTTGCCTTATGAGAGACCACCCAGCAACTCTATCGAGTGGTGTGAGTTTCTTGAGGGAAGAGAGGCAAAATATAAAGGCAATAAGCAGTGTAAGCAATAAAATTGCAGTTAATTTGATTCATATTTGGGAGTGCAACATAATCAGTTCTAGTTTCATTTAACAAAACTATTATTTACCCAAAATACAAGTTTATCTAGTATGCAATCAGAGTAAAAAAAAAGTTATGTTACTTTTCTTTCTTCTTTGATGGCTTGTTTTCTAGCTTTGCGATCCTCTTTAGTCTCATTTTTGGAACGTGGTTGTGTGGATATTCTTGGCAAATCACAGTCATTTATTAGTTGCATTTGCTCAGCCTGCTTAGCTGTAAGTCCTCTTTGAGGCAAGACATGCAAAGGGATTCCTGTCTTTTTAGATACTTCAACTGGTTTGGGCTGAATAACAAACATATACAGAAATGAATGAACCCATTTCTAATCAGTAACATTAAAAGCCAGCAACATTCATGCTTCCAGGAATTCAATTAGATCCAAAATTTGATTCAGCCAAAATTACAGGCTTTAAGTGTCAGACCAAATGGTCTATCAAGACAGAATTTAAGCACTGGAGAAAAAGTTACATATCTAGATTTTTTTTTTAAGCAACCATGGCTGCTTCACTTCCAGCTGCTGTCACTTTTCTCATTCCCTTGGGCAGTATACTAGGGGACACCACGGGGAGGAATTAGGCTTTTTGACAGCTGTGATTCTGAGCTGATTCTGGCTTGCCATGACTGCCAAACAGTCTGGTGTGCAAATGATTCATGCTCTGAAGCGCAACAGGGAAGACGGTGCAGCCGACTGGGCACCCCGCCTCCTGCTCAAGAGAGGACCTCTAAAGCAGGAATGCCAGATCCACTCCCTGCTGCTGCCCTGCCCTTGCAGGAGCCTGGCAGCATGGATTCCAGCTCCTACATCCTGCCTGGGAGCAAGCCTCACAGGTGGGGGTGAGAAGCCATTGAATTGCCCAGCAGGGTTGCCCCCAAAACAGAGCAGTGCTATGGAGCTGATGCCCCACACCTGAGCCCGAGAGGTGTGCTGAGCGTGCATCGGCTCTGTGGCAATTCGCTGGGTGTGGCTGTCCCAAATGTGCAGTTGGTTTCCCACTCCTGCCTGACAGCAACCCTCTTAGGCACTGGGGTTGGGGTAGCCATCTCCTGCCCTAGGGAAGATTGCTGGGTCAGGTGGGGTGGGGGACAGGATCAGGATGCCTCTCACAGCTGGGTAGCTGTCAGCTGCACTCTTTGACTGGCCACTCTTGCCAAAAGGCTTCCTTGTTTTGAGGTTTCTATCACGCTGCATTGTGTTGCCCAAACTTGGACAATACAACAATCAATACCATGGTTGATAACCACACTGATTCACACTGATCAATTGCCATGACTGGATTTGGACAACACAACAAACAGACATGGTTTTTACTGTTATCTGCTTGCTGTGATGTGTGAATCCAGTCAATGTCATGACTAACATAAATTCCACGGATTCCAGAAGTTCTATGCTTAAGTAATATTAAGTCTGAATTCAAGCAATGATAAAGGAGAATCATCCATTCATTAAAGCAAAAATGGGGAACCTCCAGATCACTGCTGGGGACAGGAGGTCTGACAATCTCTTCCCAAAGCAGTGCAACATTCCCCACCTCTCAAAAGCACACCTGTTCTACAATTAAGTATTTTTTTAAAGGCTCCACTGGTGCCAAAAGATGTGACTCACAGACTCCCCTTCTGCCCCACAACCTGAGCTTTCCAAAGCAGTGTATGGCACAAGGGGCTGCCTTTCATTTTTCTCTAAAATCAAGCATTCTGTTAGACATGCCCAAGTCCCTGGGTGCATCCAGAATATCCCATTCATTGCAAGGCAGACATCTTTAACTTATAAATGAATATGAACTCCCATTTACCTTCTGTGGAACCTCAATAAGCTTTGGATGGTTGTATAAGTTTGAATAGGTACCTTAAAGAGAAAAAGATACATGGAGTTGACTGATCAAGGGAAAAACTGTTCTCCAAAATATGCCAAAGTCTTCAGAGATTTCTACCTCTGTTTAGTGAAATGTTAGGCACAGTCCATCCAGCAAGGCCAGGATTCAATGCTGTCGGCCTTCAATGCAGGCAAGACTCTGACAGGGCACGTGGCACACAGTCACCATCAATTTTCCTGCCTTGCACCCTGGACAGCTGTTTTTGGTCATTCAGATGAAGTGCTGAGGAGAGGGAGGGAAGGAGGCTGCAGGGCCCTCTGAATACAATGTAAGCCATCAGCCCCAGTCTCTTCTCATTCCCTCCCCCCCACCCCACCTCCTAACATGCCCTTTTAGTCCTCTCAGAGGCTGCTGTCTGATCATGGAGACCCAATCCATGGAGTTCTTTCTGCAGTAGTTCTACATCTGGAAACTCAACTCTGCAGTTGGAACTTGGGCTCCTACTAACCCTATGGGCTCCAGACAATGGGGGTGAAATAGGATTGCACCCAAAGGTGTTTTGTAGATAGTGAAAGTATAGGTTGGATTCACACACAAAAGCCCTTGAAGAGCTCTTCCTGAGGGTTGGGGAGCCTCCAGTACAGAACAGGATGCAGGACAGAAGCCTGCAAAAAGTAAGAGAAGGATTTGCAAAATGACTTAACCCTTGCCATGAAGAATGGCAGCATCATTATCCTTGCATTTTCTATTCACTGGGAAAGAACTACAGATGAAACACTCACTCAGAATGGATTCGCAATCCCATTTTTCTTTAGGTTCTTCAACAACCAAAGTTACAATTTCTTCTCTCCCATCACCTTCCTCATTCAGGAGCAGCTCTGAATCTTCTTTGAATACAAGTGCATCAGGTTTCACACAGCTTTGGAGAAAGTAAAAGATACATGATGGCACAGAAACCTTTTAAACTGACTTTAACAACTGCTTTCAATACCACACACATTAAATCTGTATCTCTAAGAGATACTGAGCAAACAGCAAAATGAGCAAATGTACAGCATGTTTTAGAAAAGTGCAATTTGGATGTGGGGTACCCTTAAATATAAGTCATATATTGTGATTTTTAGTGGGCAAAAGTCAGGGCACCCTATTTTAAATGATTAAAGTTATTTTTTTCTTAATAGGCCTAATTAGTAAGTCACAATTCACTCCAATGCTGCTAGCTATGGGTACTTTGCTAACATAATTAGGCCAGTGTGGTGCAGTGGTTAAGAGCATGGGACTGGGACGATCTGGGTTCTAGTCCCTGCTCAGCATGAAGCCAACTGGGTGACTCTGGGCCAGCCACAGACTCTCAGCCCAACCTACCTCACAGGGTGGTTGTTGTGGGGATAAGATGGAGGAGGAGAATGATGCAAGCTGCCTTGAGCCCTTTGTAGGAAAAAGGCAGGATATAAACCAATAAATAAATAAGTAAGTAAATAAATAGAACTTCACTGATATCGTGATAACTTTGGCATACATTTGTCCAGTTCCCACTTTATTTCCTAATCTTTTATGACTTCAAGAACAGCAAATCACTTGTACGTATATTAATGCATGCAGTTTAACAGACTCAGTTACTGCTGAGAAAGGAGAAAGCTAAATATATTGGAATGCATTATCTGACTTGGAAACTGAAATAACAGAATGAAAGCTAAGGTGCTCATTTAGGACCTAACTCTCTGGCTCACTCTGGGCTGACCCCAGTAATAATGTTCAAAGGGACCAAGGAAGATTTTTTCCATCTGAACATGAATATAAGCCTCAATATTCTTTTTACAAGGGGTCGTAAAAAGATAGATAAAGTTTATTTCAATGGCAAAAATCTGAAGTGCCTTCCTAACTCCATGATTTAACAGCAGTACTTGTTTTTGGAATAGGGAAGGTAGTTCTCTCATTCTGATTTGAAATGTCAAGTAGCTGTCTGAAGAAAAGGAGGAAATACAAGACACCATCACAACTGCAACTGTCTCTTTTCAGCGCACACACTTCGCATCCAGAGTTGTCAAGCATTCTGGAAAGGGAAAAGAGAAGCAGTGGCTACAACTGAGGCAGCAGTGGCAACAAGGAAAATCTCTGCTTTGATGCACAGTAATTCAACATTACCAGTGGCAGATGCTGTTTACCCTCATTCTTCAAAACAAAATCATACAACTTTCAATTTTTTCTGGAAATTATCTAGGGAAACCAGCTTGAGAACATATTTTCAAACACTCAACCAGCAAAGCAAAATGATGCTTTGGGAGAAAATGGATGACCATTTTTGCTTGTAGTGCCACATCTCCTGAGCATTCTCTCCAGGGAGACAGTGCTTCCACTGTTTCAAAGGACAACTGGATTTTATATGTTAACAGTGCTTTCACCAGTACACTGATTTTTATTGCAGTTTTGTATTTGCATGTTTATTTTTAATTTGCAATTTGTTCTGAAAACAGATGAAATTCCTTAAATCAACCAACCATAAAGTAAGGATCTTTTTACATACTCCTTTGCCTTTTCTCTGTAGTAGTCATTCAAGACTTCCTGTAACCGAGCACTGTCACTTTGAATGAAACCTTCTAATTCGGCATTATCCAGAGCTCCAATTTCATCATCATCAAACTGCTCGAAGAACTAAACACAAAGAAACAAGCAGTATTCAACATGAAAACTAGTTCTCCAGTATTCAGAACTGGATAACTAGTATTATATAGCAATAATGAATCTGAACAACTATAAAAAATTCTCGGGGAAATATCAAACAGAGAACGGTGCTCCCACCAATTCCATTCTCCAAGCAAAGCTGGACAGTTGCACAAAGATTTACTACATGAGGAATAACTGGAAACTAGCAGAAGCACTTATTTCCTCAGGGGGACAAGTTACTGGCGCTTCAATAGGTGAGTTACGTTAGCCCATTCCAACTGAAAGCAAAGGTTTCGGGTCATTTCAGAGCTTCCTACAGGAGACCTCAAATCTCAATTGTATACACACTTGGTCTTGCTTGTGTAGTGGGGCTGGCAGCAGGTGTCACTTGTGCAACGGCCCCATGAAATGCTGCCGTCAGTTTTGAAAATAGCCTTTCATGTTACGGATTTCTTTCCATGGACAAAGGAGAACATTGTAATGCAACATTGCTTGCTACCCTGATAGTTACAACAAGAAAATATCTAACACAACATGAGTAATGGCACTTGGTACCAGAAAAAAATTACTTAAATCTGATTAAAGGCTGTGCATGATTAGTACTTAAGTCAGCTATCTTGCTGTCACTGGTAATAAAAAGAAATGAAGCATGAATTTACATCTGGCTGCATCTGTCTGGATTCATTACAAGATGAGAATCAGTTGAACAATATTTTCTAAAGATACCTTACGCTAAGTGAAATCACCACCATTACTTCACCTTTTCAAATCTTTCATCTAAAAGGGTCAGTTGTTCATTCCTTCTCATTACTGAAGAGGTCATGGAGTATTCTGTGAAACGACTCTTGGTCTCTTCTTCCATGAAAAGAAATTCTTTCATTTTCCCTCCACTTTCAGTATCATCTGACAAAGGACCATCAGAATCATACTCTTCATCACTCTGACTGCCTTCCTCGTCGTCTTCTTCCTCCATATCCTCCCATTCATCTTCATCTTCAGATTCCCTGTGAATAACATTAACATTGAATGACATTATTTTTCCTGTTTTACTATTGAATAGCTGGAGAGAAGATAGTAATTTTTCAAATCCTGAAAATCTGTAAATGTGAAGCAATTTAAATATAGTCCAGTCTACGTACCGCTGCCAGTCTTTCACTCAACAGCACAATTTTCCATCCACATTGCCATATTACTAAGGACATAAACACAGTAACACATTTTCTATTCCATTACCCACAAGCTTCTTTTTCCTCCTTTGTGCTTCCTGATTGATTGGCCTTTAAAATGAAATCATCTTCAAGGAGATTGTCTGGATTGTCAAAATCAAAATCTTCATCAAGTGCTGCAACAATGTCTGGGTCAAAATCCAACCGAGGCCCTAATGATAGATAAAAGAATATGTTATAAAGTAGCTATGGCAATGTCCAAGTCTTTTATCAGGGTCAAAGTCAAAGAGCCACTTTACCCTGAACAGCACTGAACTGCCTCCTCTTGCAGGCTCCGAGTTAAACCTAGGTTCCTTTCAAGAGTGCTGCAAGACCCACCTGGCTAGGATGGCTTTTATGGTTCAAGCTTAACTTAGGATGGTATTTGAAAAGGTAGGGCATTTAACTAGGCTTTATTCAGTCTTGTATGATGAGATTTATTTGTATAAACTTGATTTGTTGCCAAATTTAAGTCTTTGGAGTAAGGTAGACGATAATAAATGGAGAAATACTCACACAACAGCCTCTCTAGTGGGTTTGCTGCATTTTATTCAATATAGTGCAGATTACTATAAAATACTAATCAAAGTTAAAGAAGGAACAACTGATATTAAGCCACACGTATGAAAATGGCAAGTAACTTGAGCAGAACATGAGCTCTTGAATTATATCTATGTTTTCATTTACTGCTTAAGCCATGATAATAATTTCTGTTGCTTCTCCTACACTCCTACTGGAATTTGGAAAACTACTTTCAAGGCGTCCAGCAAAATCTTCTCAAAAGGAGTTTGACTTTCTTCCACAAACAGCATGTCATGAAATTTCATTCAGTTTCATCTACTACAATATGTGGCAGGACAAACAAGTTTTACAGTTCTTTTGGCAGTGAACGTGACAGTGAACAATTCACAGTTCCAGACTTTGCTTACAGATTTTAAACACATTTTCAATTTTTTCACTTGGAAAAGTATAGAAGGCAACTGCCAAATGCTTTTAAAAATATGAAATAAGCCATTGTTACTGATAAGTACAACTTTTTCAACTAGACTTCTTTGACATGCATACCATGTTAAATCATTTGATGGAAAATCCACATATCCAGTTTGCAAAAGTTTCTTTCATGGAAAATTTTGTCTCACCACAACAAAATAGGAAAATATTTAGAAGCCTGAAATACAAATACTTCAGCTTTTCCCAGTTCCCATGAGACTTCTTCCTGCATAATAGCAGAAAGCTTCAGGTAAAGCTAGTGATCAATTTTCCATCATTCTGATGGAAGAATTAAGAAATTTCTAATCTAAGCATGAAGGAAGCTATGAAATTTCCCCTTGATAATGTTATTCTCCTTGACAGCAGAATCATTCTGCAATGAAATAATCTGATCTGTTTTATTAGATATAACAATCAAATATATATTATGAAAGGAAGGCAGACTAAGGAGCCTCCAATCCTAGATTTCATTTAATACAGTGGGATTTCTAGGTAAACACAGATGAGATTGCACCATAAATATTCATTACCTTTTAACCCCTCTAATAACTAAAGCTATTTATAGTACCTGAAACAGGAGCAGCTTTGTTTAACAGTCCCACATCCTCTTCGAATTCTGAAGCAAACACTGATGAGGGCAAGTTAATAGTTGGCGCCTACAAGGAGAAGAAAAAGTGGCCTTTAAAATAATACTCAAGAGATAAAACCCTTTGAGTAGTATGACTACCTTTCAAGGAGAATACAATTCACATACTGTCTAACTCTTTCCTCTGAATCCTTAGAATTAGCATGTGTACATTTGTTTTTGCCACTCAGAGTTCTTAAAAAGCTATTCTATACTAGATCTGCTGATGCATGAATTGTCAAGCAGGACTGATGGGATTCCAAACTCCTGCTCATGAATCCTAGACAAGTTTGTGGATAATTATCTCCAATGAATTCTTCATGCATAAACTTAATGAAATGGTCTCAAAACATGATCCTACTAGTTTTAAGGGCAGTGTATGAAAAGGTGCCAAATATCTTAACCCACTAAAATGTTGTAGTGATGTCTTCAATCAGTACTTACACAACTTGAAGTGATCAGCAACAACCTTTCCTTCATACCCCTGAACAAAATGACTGCCTGAAATACACACTGTTTGCTCTCATCTCTTTAAAAGGGGTCTATAGACCTGCTTGACAGAAACTGGATAAATCAAAAAACAAAACTTTGTCATTTATGTTATCATTAACTATTATTTAGTATTTAGTACCAACACTGAATCAAAATTAGAGCCATAAGATTCAGAGTCAACATACATATATATATCGCATGTTTCCAAACTATTTTATTTAGTTTTTAAATGTTGACTCTCGTCTTAAAACAAAACTTGATTTGTTCACAGAATATTCATCTGAGAAAAAAAATACAGAGGAGAACCACCATAAATTTTCAAGTATATGTTGTACTTACTGGAATTTTCTGAATTTCTTCTTCTACCTCTCCTTCTGCAGTCACTACAATTCTGCCTTGTTGATCTGGTATGCTTGATGGAATAAGCTCAGAAAGCCCAGAAGCTTCTTTGAGATGTTGCAAGTAGTCGTAGTCATCATCAAAGAATACTCCGTATTTCCTCTGTTCTTCCTTCCTTTTTTCTTCATCTCCCTAAAAGTGTGTTAGTGTTAACTAAAATCACAAGGTATTGTAATCCCCCCTGCCCAAAGGAACCAACATAAAAACAACTTTAAGGAAAAACAGGCATGCAAGTATGCTAAGTTTCTCCACAGATTTTGCAGTGGAGTTGATTTAACTCAGGAGATGAATTTCAAGAAGTTCCCAGCTGGATCAGGCCAAAGTGCCTATCTAGGTGCCTCTGGGATGCAGAATATGAGGGCAACCGCCAGTTCCCAGAGTTTCCCACCAAGGGACATTCAGACTTGCTGAATCAGATCCTGAAGGTAATATATAGGCCTCAGGACTAACACACATTGACAGCTTTGTTTAATACCCAATAGTACAAATGTATGCATGTTCACTCAGATGTAAGATCCACTGAGTTCAAAGTGGGGCTTAATTCCAGACGGTTACAAGATGGTGAGTTCTTCTTTGAACCTTATTTCCTCAAGAACCAAGGAATAAGCTACTTTCCTACACCATTGTCTTTTATAATCACCTTCTGTGCAGGCAATAGAACTCTCTGGGGTGCAGTGTCATCTGCTGTCAAAGGGTCCCTCTGACTTCTGTGTACTAAATGAAATGTGACAGCTTTCTTCTTCTCTATGAAGGGTTTCTTCCGCCTGTGGGGCTGCAAGACAAGAATTAAGTTACTTGCAACTGGCCCAAAATTGACAGTTTTTCTACCTGTCTAAACATATTGGTTATACTGTGTTCAGAGCCTCCCAAAATACCTTTTACAAGTATACAGAACTGAAAAGCAAATCCAAATTAAGGAAAGAAAAGTTTGTCTGGTTAATTGATGTACACTGCAGCAAGAAGTAATTGAGAAGACATTGTACAGCCCATTTTAGATTTCTGTCATGGGTACACACAACTATGGAGTACCACTTCAGCAACAACTGAGAGACCAAGAGGGAATGCAAACAGTGAAGTATCACATTGCACCAGTTCTCACCAAATGGGATTTTCTTCTTACTGACAAGAGTAAGAAGTTGATCTTACCATAACTGTCTCACTGTACAGGTCCCTGCAGATACCTTTGTGTGGACTCCGATAGATTTTAATGAAATTCAGATTACAGATACTGCCAAATGAAACCATACTTTTATTTATCCTTAGAACTGGATGTTAAATTTCCTCTCATGGTCAGTGTAAATATCATTAGAAGGCACAATTAACATGCCTTTCTTATGAGCCATCCTGAGTATAAGGGAATCAGGACAGGCATACATTAAATAAATAAAAGGACTTGGAACCATAAATAGTTTACTTGGGTTGATGCCAGGAACTCAGTTTTTCAAGGGGACTTACAGGCACTGATTCACTTGTCTACTGTCTTCCCTCTGACACAGTTATGTAGACTACATTACACTGCGTGTTAATCTTCGCTGTATCGTTCCAATTTTAGTATATGTGCTGCCGAAGTGAGCACACTGTGTGCTGTTCTACAAAAAAATGATTCATTAGGCTTTACATCATACCAAGGCTCCATTAATAAAAAAAATCTTTTAATGGGGCCAATGATGCCTACTCAATTATGGTAAGATGAGCTGGTATTTCTATATGACATAATTCCTGCATAATGCTCACTGCAGGGACCACATTAGACATTTGTACGTGATCTCTCTCTCTCTCTCTTTCACATGCACACAAGAAACTGGCATCCCAGTATGTGAACATTATTCATGCTTATTTATTAATTTCTAACCTGCACATTCAACTTATCCATGTTTTCAGGGTGACTTACAATAATAAAACAAATCAATTTACTCAAAAATAGAAAGCAAAAAGCAGCTGAATGAACAACAGATCAAAACCCCATCAACTACAACTAAGAAGTTTAAAGGTAACTTCTTAATTACCTTCATAATATTTATAAAGGGGTATTTACCTGAAAATTATACCAAGGTGGGTATCAGGTGACTTCCCCTGAGGAAGCAATTGCAAAGGCAAGTATATACCTTTGAAATTCCTTCTTCTGAGAGGTTTGCCTGGTCTTCTCTCTGTTGGTTTCAAATAAGCCTTGTTGGATTTTATGTAATTTTATCCAAGTACTGTTTTATTATTTTGAATTGTAATGTATCATGCTGTTTTTACTTTTTATTGTAAGCTGCTTTGGGAAGACTTACCCTAAGAAATGACAGACACCTAATTAAAAATAATAAATAGATTGAGATCCCTTCTTGGCAGCCACCATCTGCCTCACTTTGGATAGGCATTATAAGAGGACAGCCTCAGTGTACAGACTGGCTGATACGGCAGAATGTAAGAACAGTAGTACTACATCAGGCCACAGGTCTATCTAGAGCAGCACCCTGTTCCCACGGTGGCCAACCAGATGGCCATGGGCACCCCAGAAACAGGGTATCAGTACAGTATCATCCTTCTGCTCATGTTCCCCAGGAACTAGTATACAGAAAGCATAGGCAGCCTTATTCTTCAGGCAGTTAAAAAGACACCAGGCCAAGAGATAAGTAGTGTAGAACTTTAAAAGGAAACGGAAGCATTCTGAAATCGATTAAAAGCTAGCATAGCTGTTTACAAAGGGATGCAATATGATCCCAGCATCCATTCCCAGTTGAATTTTCTGTAGTTTCCAAATAAACATTAAAGGCAGCCACAAGAACAACACATGGCAGTACAAGAACCAATCCCGCTTATGTATGCTATCACTTACGTGTGATAGTGCTTCACAGAGTTTTGTAGAGCATGAAAGCGTCCCAATAAAGCCCCGGCAGCACCACAAACGCCTAGGCCCAAGCGTGGTGCCTTGTCGCTTGCCTTCATTCCTGTCCCAGTTATTCCTACCAATGGCCCGCAGTTATAAAAGAAAAGGTTGCCATGCAATTAGACCCGCTTTCCCCCTGCCCTCCGTCCAGGAGACATCACGGCAGTCTTCCTCAACCTGGTGTCTTCCAGCAGCGCTGGACTACAACTAGCTGGAGGTCTACGGGTATCAACACATCCACATGGCTACGGAGGATGGGCACTGTAGTCCGACACATCTGGAGGGCAAAGGAAATCGGGGAAGGCAGGACCCGAGATGCTTCAGCCTGGGCGGCTCGCCACGTCACTCACCATGGCGCGAGCCCTCGAGCAGTCCGGCCGTCACGCGCCGAGCCCCGCCGGTGCCCTGAGCACGAAGCTTCTCCTCAGCACCTGATAGAGCCCACGACTTCACGCGCTCCCGTCTCCGGAAGGGGATTTACTCTCCCAAGACGACGCTCTTGCTCCACTGTCTCTTTGGTGCTACTCTGTCGCCATCTTGGAATAAACCACTGACAGCTTAGAAGGGTGTGTGTGAAAGCCGTGCTAGCTCCAACAGGTCTGATAGGATTATTATTCAGCGAAACTGATGTTTAATCCTACCTTGGAAACAACAACCCCAACCGTGTGGTGTTTGCCAGGAGGACGTACAGACGGAATAGAAAAAGATTGCTGTGGCTCAATCTGAACTTCCGGTAAGAATTGAACGCTCCTTCTGTTTTGAATCGCTATGGTGGCAGAGAGGTGTCGCTCTATCCCCTGGCACCTCAGTGGTGCAAGATATTCGAAGTGTGGGAAGGAAAATGGGGTCTACTGTGGACCGGATGTGGCCTCGCTTTACCGGCGGAAGCGACCGTGGACGGTCGACTGGGTCAGAGCGATCTCTGTGGGCGTGGCGGATCCTCCCCGTGGAAGTGCTGGGGTGGAAGGACATGCTACGGTCTCATCTCCTATAGAGATTATTAAGGATGCACCCCAGTGCACACTTCGATGGAAGGAAGCCTCGCCGGACATAATGAGACTTACTTCCCCGTAAGCATGCATAGGATTGGGCTGCATGCCTAAAGGTGCAATCCTATGCAAGTTCAGGGAGAAGCGCGTACAATTGTAGTTCTCCTTTTTCTATCTCAACTTGCAGAGGATTGTGCCCTAAGTATGTGCAGCTGCAGTGCACCATTTTCTCACGCGCACCCGCCCGTCGGAAAAGGTATAATGTTAGAATCTGGAGGGACCATCCGCTGAGCCTCATGACTGGAAGATCCAGGATAGATAAAAGGAAGGACGTCACTTGTGCAGACTTCAGCTATGACAGTAACTACCACAGCATATGGTGATGGTCACCAATTCGTACAGCTTTAGAAGGAAGAAAACGCTATCAGTGGCTGTTAGTCCTGATGGCTATCTGCTTACTTCCCGTAATAGAGGCAGTATGACTGTGTGCACTAGTTGCACAGGATCATGGCTCTGAGGGTGACGTTGCACTCATGCTTGTGGGATCCTGTGTTCAGCTGGTTGGCCACGAGATGGTCTGATCCTGCATGGTTCATCTTAGGTTCTTAAAACTCCTTTTGCTCCTACCATGCAAAAACCCTGTATATGGATGGCACTTTGCAAATTAGAAAGAAGAATCGTAACTTGGTTTTATTAGTAATTTTAAATAAATTGTTTACATTAATTTTTAAATGATATACAAAGGTAAGCTGTCATACAGAGGACAAGATTACTTTCCTAAGAATGCCTTTTGAGAAAGGTAAATTTTTAGTAGACAGTGAAAACTAAAAGGGGTTCGTATTGATAGGAAGTTCCGGAGAATGACTGTTTTATTCCAAGCCATGGGAGACTTAAGGGCACAGTCCCACTGATTGCATTTTGGCCACACAGAAGCCCTTGAACTCCGCTGTTTTTGGGTTTCCTATGCACAGCAGGGCTGAAGCTGGCAGGCAGGAGGAATAGCAGGGCAACCTTTACTTCCCTATTTTTGATATCCTTTGTGTTTTGGAGGGGAAGGGACGGAATCTGGAAAAAACTCCTGATTGCTTGCTTCCAGGCTTTCTCACACTATAGTAATTCCTTGACCTTACCTTGTGCCAGCAAGTCTGCATTATCACAGCAATTAGTTTGTGAATGGCTTGTTTTATTTATTCAAAACTTTTATACCCACTTTGACATCTCAGGATGGCTTACAACAAAGAACAATAAAATAGCAAAACAACACAGCAACCAGCAATTGTTAATAATGTAATTGTCACTCTCAGTATTTTCTGCGTCTGATTCCCTTCTAACCTCACTGTTCACAATCTCCACCCCATACATAAGCTGAAAATGTCATTATGCTTCATGCCATCCAATGAAGTGGACTATAGTCAATGGAAGTTTATGCTAGAATTGCTAAAGGTGTCCCAAGACTCCTTATTTTATTAAAAGCATTATTCTTTAAAGAAGATTGTACTCCATGTGCACTAATAAATAGTAGGTGTGACTTACTTCTGGCTAACTCCTATTTCTAGTGTTTTGTCTAGAATCAGAGGAAGTGAAAGAGGGTTAATACACTGAATATTGTTTTTGCTTTCTGACACAGTGGAAGAAAAAATTCTCTGTACTAAGAGGAAGCTAGCATAGAAGAGGTACATGATGTCCTTGCAAAATTAAAAGTATCTGACAAATTTAATATCACTTACTACAAGCATTGAAAGGAACCTTTATACCAATCACTTGTAAGCAGCAAGCTCAGCTCTCAGCAAAGTATGATGCATGTCAAGTGAAGGCTTGCTCTATGCACTCAGACTTGAGAAATACTTCCTTTTAGTTTTTTTGTACAGTTTTATTGATACAAAGAGACATTTCATAGCCTTAAGCAGCTGTAAAAAATTTTTTTAGGAAATGAGGGATGAGGTTGAATGAAAGCATGGCAGAAGCAGAGCAATAGTGGGCAATCAGGATATTGGTACCTTATTTTAATGTATTCGCAGGTTCCATGAGGTTACTTACCTGGAAGGTAAATGATGTAGTAACTCTCCTGGCCCAGACAGTCATTCACTTTGACTGTCTGGGAATGTTACATTACTTCCTTGAGTTTCATGAAAGGAAAGCAAGATATAAATGCGACAGAGTCAGATATTAGGGTCTACTACCAGAACAGTTCAGTGCAGCGTGTGTTTTCTTGCTTAAATTAAAGCATTTATACTCTGGTCAGGTGGAAAGGCTCTCAGATCAGTCCGAAAAGGGCAGCTGCCGCCCTCAGCAGAAAGTGCTGACCATGCGATTTATTTCAATTAATCAGTTTGCATTTGCACAGGATAACTTTCTTCTTGAGATTTCCTTCAGCTAGCATGACTTTTACTCAGATTCACTCTTTTTTGCGGCTTTCAGAGTTTGACTTTCCTCTGCCCAGTTGCATGCAGTTGTCTCCTGAAGTGTTTCCATCTGCATTCCATCCTTTGTGCTGCATCAACTCAGCGAAGCATTTTATGTGGCCAGTAGACAGAAGAGCAGACGTCATCCAAATCACCGTGACTCCATATGAAAAAAGCTAACTTTGCTCTACTGCGTTATGTGAAAAATGGCAGTTTCATTGGCCTTGGTGCTTTTGTATTTTAAGCTGTTAGTAGCATAATTATGTAAAATACAAAAATCAAGTAATTCCACTAGTGTTGAATGAGACCCCGAGAAATCTTTGTGTTTAAACATCTGCCTTAATAGTAGCTATACACCATGTAACTTATTTTCAAAAGGAAATAGGATAAGATTCACCTCTTAGCTGACTGTGCTCCTGTCAACTTTTCCTGGTAGGCCTGCATTGCTTCTACAGCTATATAAATGTGGATTTTTTCTTGCTGTTGCACAGCTCCAGAGCAAATGAAGGACACACATCTGCACATATTAATGGCCTAATTCTTTGGTCCCATTGCTTACTCTCTCCTACTCTTACTGGGAGAAGTACTAGGAATGGGGTCTAGGCAAGAGAAAGTCAGCTGCATTTCTTCTGAAAAACTTTTTGAAAGACAGACATTATCTCCAGCTTCCTATTGCATTCTTAAACAGAAATTAACATATGAACAACTTGTTCCAGTATGAAGATTCAGTGCTGGGAGGATTTTCACCTATTTTTTTCTGTGTTTCACAGCTGAGGTGCTCTAGGTCAATCTGTTCAAATTGCTCAAACTGCAGGGAATAATTGCATGCAGCATTACAGTGCAGTTTTGCTTTTTTCATTTAATTGCTTGCAATGAACTGGTTATTTTAGTAGATTAATATTTATTTATTTATTTTATTTAGAAAATTTCTATGCTGCCCCATTCGCCAAAGCCTCAGGGCGGCTCACAAATAAATCAATTAAAATACTATAAATTAACAATATAAAACAAGTTAACAATATAAAATAAGTCGCCCTGGCCAAAGAATAAAATAAATACTATTAACAGTTAAAATGACGTTTGAATAAAAAGTAATATTTGTTACTAATATTTCTGTACATTTGCCCAATACTTAGAAACTTTAAAATGTGTGCCTGCATCACTCTTTACAAATATGATAGGATTGGGAAATATTGCCACTTTCTACTTTATGAAAAACAAAAAAGCAGCCCACTTTGCTTAAAAATAGTACCTTAGTAAGGATCACTATCAGAGAGGCCCAGAGGGTGTTTCATCCTGTTCCTTCCCACAACTGGGTTTCATGAGTTCCCTGCTTCCCTCTGAAATTCTTTCAAAGGACATTCTTTACTGCTAGTAAGACCAGGGCACGTTTCTCTTTTGTTGGTGGTATTGATAATAGATTCATTGTTTTTAAATTCATGTTTTATCATGTACTTGTTAAGAAATTGTTCTGATGTTTAAAAATATGAGTATGTAGAAAAATAAGATTGTATTGCCTTCCTGTATTTTATGAATTCACTTTTGCCATATTGGAAGAGGAAGGATGAAATGACTGCTTACTCTAGAATCTCCCCAAAAACAGGCTCCTTGCAGGTGCACAAATGCACAAATGTCTGAATGCACAAAGACCACAAAGAATGATTGCATATAAGCAGCTACAGTAGCCCTGTGGACGTGTTTGCCTGCAAAACAAGTGCAGGGAACATGATGTATTGTAAGCCCACTCAAATGCCTCTGTGCCCCAGGTGCATTAAAAATCTTTGCAAGATTAATGATTTTTAGGCATGTTCACCCACACGTGTTTAGAAGCCTGTATTCACATACTTCTGTTCAGTGACAACCATCTTTAAAGCAGCTGATGATACAGGGATGTTTGAGGTCAAGGCTTCTAGAGGCGAGGGTTCCATGCTTGCCCATGTCATGCCCCCACTTTAACTGTGCCTATGTTTCAGACAAACACCTGTATTGTTGTGTTTTTGCTTTCTGTAAGTTTCAGGCTGCAGTCTTAAAGTTTCTTCCCTGGGAATACGTTTCCATTTAAGTCACTGTGGCCTAGAGTTGAGTAGAAAGGTATAAGATTGGAAATGGCAGTAAACCTTTAATATTATTACTGAACAACCCAAAAGAATAAAACAAGTTCTGAGGTTTAAAAAAAATAATGACAGACACCATTTATTGCCTGAAAAAAATACGTATCTTATATAATTAAGAACTAAACAGGGCACATGGACAAAAATAAATTGTAGTATATACATTAAAAAGGATAAATAGCATATATATATTGTAATACTGCAATACATGCCCTTGTGTATTTCAGGCCAGACATTTCATTGTGTACATTAAAAGGATAAATAAGTGCCAATATAAGACAATTTTTAGTGTAAACAATGTCATAGGCTTATAATAAGCCACCATATTTAGGGCCAACATAATAATACACATATTGCCTGTCACACCACCTTATACTTTTTAAACTTGACTAACAATATATTCACAAATACAATTACAAGATAGTATAAAAGTAGACAATTTGTTCCACATTATTCACACATAACAAATACAGGCTATAGGTTCCAAGGCCTTTCTGCAGTTTTCACAAGGCCTTCTGTGAGGACTTAAGTTACACCTATGACACAATCCTTTTCCCTACAGGCACAGAGACTACATGCTGAGGGATCCTTGTAGGGTGTGGCACGACTGACCTCTGATTTTCCTGGTCTGCCCCCTTGGCACTCTCAGTGCATCAGCCTCTTTCACAGAGTGGGAGACCTCTATCTACCACGCATATCCCAGGTCAGCCCTCTCCTTTCCACTTGGCCAAATGGCAAGAGTAGGGTGAACAAAGGTACAGGAAATGTGTGCAGGTATTCATTCTCCAGGCTGCCTCAATATGGCTTCTGTGCACACATGCCAGGGTGTGCATGTGGCGGAACAAAGCTCTGTTATGTTACGACATTCCTCCATCTGGATGCACTGTTCACACAAAGAAGGTTCATGCCCAGAATTGCCTTCTTTGCCAATAGTCCCAAGCATGGGGAATGCAATGTCCGTATATTCTGTGTAGCTTGCTAGTGCTGTTTTCCCTGGGAAAATTCCTCCTAACACCCTCACCCTGCTTTTCTGCCATGGAATATACAACCACGTCGGCTCTCGACAGCAGCACAGGGCTGGGTAAGCCAGAGGAAAACCTTTGGAGGGTGCATGACATTTGGCCTCTAGGCCTGATTAGGTCTACCCGAATCCCAGTATCTACTAAATGTAGTTAAGCCTGTACATAAAGAACATATTACTAGCTATAGCCCAGAACTACATGATAAGCTGCTGTATTCACATTCATCTCGCAGTTTGGCTTCATAATTTGATTGTCAATACTGTTCCTCTAAGCAGCTCTGAAATCATTGCTTCAGCCATGACGTCATAAAAAGATAGGGGAAAACCAGAATCTGTGTCTTTTCACTACTTCCTTATTGTCTCACACTTTAATTTTCCTAAACATATGTCTCATTGATACACGATTATGGAGGGCCTATGGTTTTCCAATTCTAAATAAACAGAACACTGCAGTCTTGTGCATAGCTACATGCTCAAAAGTTCTGCTGACATTTCTGCAACTCCCATGAGTCTAGTTGTGCTCCAGACTGCAGTCACAATGCACATTTTAAAAGCACAATGAAAATTTGTAGAAGTGACTGTGAATTGTGCTACAACTAATTACTGGCAAATTGACTGGCACTACACTAAATTACTGCACTGTAAGTGCAGTTTATAAAAAGGGGATTTGGTAGCTCTGCACCTGGCTCCAAAAAGCTGAGGATTGTAGAACTGCACCAGCACAACTGCTCACATTCCTGGATCTGTACTTTAAAGAAGTTATCTGATATCCTAATATAGCATTAAATTACTTCCATGAAGAATGTTAATAATTTTGCTCTAACATTCTGATAAGAATGTCTGATAAAATACTCAGCTATGTTTGTTCCTGCCCTAATCAAAAGTGGGTTAGTATTATTTCCTGCCAACAGTCATTTTCAGTACTTCCTCTCCGGCCAAGTACTAATGAGGGAAAAACAGTATCATTTACCCTGATTGAGATGGTCCCAACACCATTTTCTCTCTTACTATGCAGCTTCTACTGCATTCATTGTAGGCTCTCTTCTAGTCATCTCTTTTATTAAATGTGGGGACCACACTGTTCAATGACTTCAGGCAGACATTTCCGTTGGAATGCTCTTTCAGGTTGTTGAGGAGTTGTACATTCCCTGGGAAGTAAGCTTGTGTCTGGACCACGGATATTTTCAATCTATTACGGACGGTGAAACCTGCAGTTGGTAAACGAAGATGCATTATTTCAGTTTTCCTCTCTACTCACTCTGAAGAGTCTGGAAGGGTCATACTAATTAAAAGCTAAACCATTTAAATACAGACAGTCTTCAAGTTACAAATGGCTGAATTAAGAACAACCTGTATTTATGAACAAACCGCCATAAAGCCAATTAATTTTTAAAAATTAATTGCAGAAAATTGTCATCACCAAAGCTTTATCACAGAAAGAAATGAAAGGGCAGAGAGGAAGGCCTCCAAAGCATGTCTTTCTGCCCCATCCATCCAGAGAGGGAAGTCCCTCCAGCCTTTCCTTGCTGCAAAGAGGAGGCACAGGTGAATCTGGACAGTGGGGAGTGGGCTAGAGATATTCACGCTTTACCACTTTCATGAGGGTTCTATGCCCCTAATCCCTGCAGATAGAAGGACTGACTATATCTGATCAGACTTACATACATATTTGGTTTAAAGACGAATTTCAGTTTTCTGAGAAATGGAATTCATTTGCAGCCCAGGGATGGCCTATGCTAAATGCTAAAGCACCCACAATAAAAAGGAGCAGTGCTAAATATTTGATCAATAACTGTTTTCTTGATGCAGAACTTGAATCCATATTTCAAGCTTTTAAAAGTCTCCTTTGTAGGCTCATGGATCTGGAATAGTATTCTAATAATCACAGGGATTAAAGGGATGAAAACTGAATGGATGTTTGTGAATGGTTTCAGAAGACAGAATACTTCAAAAGATGTAATTAACCCTTAGAATGAAGAACAGATTATGTTCGTGAGCCAAGGTACCACTGTAATGAACTCACTGGCATGCAGAAAAAGACTGCATTACAGAGGGAATCTGTTCTGATCTTCATCACATAAAAATCAGCAAACATCTCAGCTATCCCACTTGCTGAGAAAATTTACTGCTTAGCCCTGGACTAATGAACAATGTTCTAATTCTAGAAGATTTCTAGAAGGGCTAGAAAAAGGCAGTAAATTGCTTGTCTACAAATAAATTAGTTCCTCACCTTGTAAACTGCCGACTCTCTTCATGTACTTCCATTTCTGTGCTTTTAAATTCATTTAACTCTTTCCGTATTGCTGCCTAATTAAAAAACACAGAATATGAGGACAGCTCTTCAGTGGAAGCAATAAAAACAGACCTTTTTATAATCAAGCAGTACATTGTGTCTGATGGCCTCATCTCTACCCATTTTTATATAATGTATCTTATATTTAAATAAATTTTTAGTATCAATGTAATCATATAGTTGGTGAAGAGTAATATTTTATCTGAGTTTAACTGAAAAGAAAGATCCAGTCCCCATGAACAAACGGCAGGTGAAATCTACTGTCTAACAAAGAAGCAGTGCCCCAAACGCACTTGGAGTTTTAAATCTATGACGAATGGAAACAATTCCAGGCTACTTCACCTGATGTTGCTGTTCTACAGCATGCAAAGGTTTGCTTGTCAGTCCTCTAGGATCAGCCCTTTTTTGATACAAGCAGCTCAGGGACACTGGTCCAAAAGTGCAACAGTTTGGGAACCACTGAACTGCTTCTATGATCTCAGCATACTGACATCCTTAGACATTTGCCCTCTTCCCATCTTCCATTGTTTCAGAAGACACAAGAAATGGCAAGCAAGAGCCCTCCTATGCTGCACTGACACTCCACATGTATTTTCTCTCTCCTATATTAGAGAACTGATTATATTTCCCTTCTTTTCCTTTCAAACACTATTTATTGATCAGAATAGAATAATCCCAGTAGAAAACAAAGCACAAAACATTGCACAAGCTACAAAGCTGGGAATGGCAGTAGCAGAAAAGAAACTTTCCACTCTAACAAGCCACTTGTTTAATGTGCATGGAGTACTGGATGACTAATGTTTCATGCATAGCAAATGAACGAGCTGCAGAACTCCTGCCCTTCCTGAGGACTACCTTTCAGTCAGGCAAGATGAATAACGCTTTTCATCTAGAAACTTGCTTCTGTTTCATTTTTACGTAACATTAAATGAAATGTTTGGATATTCTAAGCCATTGTTTTCAGTTGGCAGGTATTAAAGCACAGCAGCCATTCAGAATACTTTACAAGGGCAATGCACTGACACTGAAAAAGAAAGACAGTTATTAATTTGCCAACATTTCATTTATCCTACAGCAGGTTCCACAAAAAAGTCTGGCTTTCTTCACACAGGTATTACCATAAATAACATTCATTGCAGCTAGCCATCACTTTTACACCCCTTTGTTCCATGAAGGTCAGAGCTTTCTATTTCCCTTTTGTTTTTAATGTAGCATTAATGTATCTCTCAATAATCCTTTACAAAGCATCGCATTAGAAGCTCAAATCTCTCAGTGCAGGACAGTATTACAGAGTGATATAATTATTATACTGTGGCTCCACCACGACATCTCAAACCCAGGTCTCCTGTTTCACGTAGGATTATATTCCTCAACTCTTGTAGTAAAATCTTAGCAGCAAAAGGTTTTAGCAATAACAATGAAGAGTTGAGAACTGGAATGCTCCTCTTTCCATTTTAGCATTCTAGTACAGTATTAGAACATTCCTTTCACACTCCTCCATGTAACTACTGTGCAACCAGCAACACTGATACAACTTTTGGATTGCGCATAGAAGCCCTACACATGTATGTGCTCAGAGTCCTTTGCCACATTGCAGCCAATACAGAGGGCAGGACAGGGCAAGAGCCAGTGGGCACAAATGTTGACTGATGGCACAGGACTCAGGTGGCAGCAATTAGAAAAATGCACCCTGCATCTTTTCCTCTCCTCTAGCATAATACTCAGTAATGCTGTACATGCTGTGATACCAATCCATTGTACATTTCCTTGCCCCTCTGCAAAAAAGTGGAGTGGGGGAACTTGCATCATGGCAGTATTACTACATCACAAGTTCTACATTATTGACCTTTATGGGGCTAGAAAGGGGAAGAAGAGATTATTTTTAGGATTAGTTGTGCATCAACCATAATCTGCTTCCAACCACTGGATAGTATCCAATGTCAGAGTGCATCCATTGGCATGAATGAGATAAATTGGCCATGACTAACTTTGATCCTTTTGAACTGACTTTTAACTGAGGCTTTTAACTATTTAAGGGACTGCAGGTGGCACAGTGGTTTAAACCGCTGTGCTACTGGGCTGGTAGATCGAACTGAGGCCTATTCTCCCACTTTTCTCCCTTAAAAGAGGAAGCAGAAGAAATGGATGACAGAAATCTTCATCCTTTGGGGTTTTAATAAGTTCAGCCCTCTACTTCTTCCCATCTGCCCATTCTGCCCTCCCACTCAAAGGAAGATAAGATAGGTAGAAGGGAAAACAGGGATTTCCCTGTGGATTGCTCCACAAACCACCCATCTAATGTGGCAGGAGCTGGAGTATAAATAACAGTATAAATAGGAGAGTTGATAGCATTGCTCATCTTCTGCCTAAACACGATCTTACAGAGAGTATATTCCAGTTTTAATGGATAACAGCAATTACTGAAGCACTTGCCAGAGCACAAGAACCACATTTAATGCAGTGTTCTTTCTAGATCAGGGGTGGGCAATTAATTTTCCTATGGGGCCACATGAGAAACTTTGACAGTTGTTAAGGGCCGGACCAATACACTTACAGCTCTGCTCAATATATATCTCTATAAAAACAGTAAATGAAACATTACAATGATACAATGAAAATGTGGAGCACAGAACACTATTTAATGAATATTCACAAAAACATTAACATTACATGAAAAGCAATAAATTTAATTCAATTTAGCAGACAAAATAAAAGCAGTGCAGTTGTATTGCTTGCATCTACATTACAACAATATATATTTACATTGACTTTTAATTTGCCAGTGACTTCATGCGGGCCAGTCAGGGTCTGCTATCGGGCCAGATGTGGCCCGCGGGCCGTACAATGCCCAGGTCTGTTCTAGATGAATGTGCTCCACTTTGACTGGGAGTGACCACTATCATATGAATTAGCAAGGGTGTCTGCTAATAATCAGAAAGGATACAGTTTGAGATATAGGAAAAATGCACTTACAAGCCTATGCTTATCTCTTACCTTGTCGGCAGGTGTTAACCTTGCCCAGGGCTTGTCAGCACGCCGATCATAATCCGGAGAATCTGTTACTTCCACATACTCATTAAAACGAAGGATTCTTCTTGCTTGAAGTTCAGCCACTGTTGGTCTCAGACTGAGCTGTGAAGAGATGGTAAATTTAATAAGCCAAAGAAAAACTGAGGCCAAGGACTAACCTTGGAAGAGATTAATCAGAACACAATCAGAACTTAGAATCATAGAGCTGGAAGGAAAGAGTAGGGAAAGAGAAATGGAAGCTGTGATGGTTCCATATCACTAATTTTGACCAGTTGTTCCCTCAGGACTAGCTTATGCCACTCTTAAGATGAAGCTGAGTCCAGTTCTGTATTATGGCACCACCACGGGCTTGTAAAAGTAAGACAAGTGAACAGTTCAGAATATCCCAGAAAGGATAGGACCTGGAGTCTATTATACTACCCTACAAACGGATAGAGCAACTTTATTCTGCTGAGGTGTATTTATTCATATAGGAAAACAATGTATGGCATTTTTCCGTTAGCAGAATGTGCCGAACTTTAACCTGAATGCTTACATTTCCTCACATTTTCAAGTGGCTTGGAGTGTTCTGTGTGGTATGCTGCCACATACAGAAAGTCTGTAAAACTCCTGTGACTGTGGAGATCCAGTGCAAATTTTTGCTGGAAAGTGACTGAATCCTATACTGAAGAGTATGTTCTGCTTGCATTATGAAGATCAGGGGTCCTCAAACTTTTTCAACAGGGGGCCAGCTGAAAGGTGCTGGTGATGGGCATGGGCTGCCAAGGTGTTGCGGGTGGGGGGACGCAGGCTGGGGCAGGGGGCATGCATGCGGTGGGGCAAGGGCGTGCACGCGCGGAGATAATTTTCTCTGGGCAAGTCCAAAACAACCTCCGCAGGAACAAGCCGCTGCCTCACAGCGCGCACGTGTGCAGCAAGTCCAAAACCTCTATGGCGGGCTGGATCCAGCCCGCAGGCCATAGTTTGAGGACCCATGATGTAGACGTACAAGGAAAAGTATTAATAGGCTCATCGTTTCTTAAGAAAGGAAAATAAAAGCTACCAAAACTTGGCTGTCGTTGATTTAAGTCAGTACCAATTTACAGGAAACAACTAGATTAAATATAGTTCCTAGTAAAATACTCACAACGTGTGCAAAATATATGAACAAAATTCTCTAGGTACTGACATATAGCCGTAACTTCAATGTGGTCTTATAATCACACCATGGCAAATGACCATTTGGAACTCATTCTGATGAATAGCAGCTTCTCTCATAGGAAGCTTGATAATATTAGCATTGCCTGATAGGTGATGTGCAGGGAAGAGAACCTATCCACAAGCCCAAGATTTTCACTGCAAAAGGCCACAATGCAATGGAAAAAAGGAAGGGTGCAAATTCAGCTGCAGTTGGCATTGCACACTATGTATACTGACCAAGGCATTTTGTGTACCTTTCTGCTGAGACTGCGCTTCAATTCTCTTTTAGCTTCTTGTTCTTCTTCTTCATTCTTCTCTGTTTTTAGATGAACAAAAGAAAGCATATTTAAAGCATATTAATAGGTTATGCATATGTGGGTACACAAAACTTTTGATTTCTGTATTTCTAATCCATTTCAGTTGGTCTATTATTATTTCTTCAACCACCATCTCCCGACTTCATCTCAGCAGCATTCTACAGTCCCCATTTTAGACAAGGAACACAGAAAGCATGGCCTCCATAGTTTCTAATTTTTAAAGCAGAAATAGCCAGCATCCCAAAGGAGTAACAGCTAAACTAAGTAAGCTTAACACCGATAGTTCTACCTAATGAATTATGATGCATTTGGACAAAGTTCCTTTCCTTTTCTCCCTCCTTTCTCTTACCTTTTCTAGTTTATCTTATGCCCCTGTACCTTGGGTGAAGCCACATAGCAGAAGGAAATATACATACTAGAGAACTTTCCAGAGAGCCTTGCCTGATGCTCACATTGTGCTCTTTTCAATGTTAGTTGAAGACCTTATTTTCCTAGACACTTTTAGTCTTTTTATATCTGCTACTGCATTTTAAATCTTTTTACTGCTGCCAGGTTTTATTTTGATTGTTATTTTTATTTTGTACTGTAGTTTTAAATTTCTATATTATATTTTATGATTTTATGAACCACCCAGAGAACTTTAGCAATAAATAAAATAAATACCGGAGAATCTCCTTGTGGCCACTGAGGGCACATGTGCAAGCTTTCTGGTGCCAGAGACAAAAGAGGGCAGGGTTCAAAGCACAGGCTTGATGGAGCTGCCCAGTCCCTTTCTTCAGCTGCCAGAAAGCACCCCCAACATGCACGCACGCCCACTGTTGGGAGCTGCCAATCAAACAGAGCAGACTGTGAATTTCAGACAAGTGTGAATTTCAACGTTTGCTGCCCTTAAACTGCATCCTCATCTGTCTCCAGATATACTGACTTAGAACTCAAGGTTCTCTCACAACTGACAGCACCACAGTCATCCAGCACCAGTGACGTGCTACAAGCGATTAGTCCCCATTGCTGCCATTCATCATTCTGTCTTGATTAGCCATGGCAAGCCAGATATCTCTTGAGAACAGGATTGTTGTATTTCTTTCAGCCCAAGGGCCAAATTCAGTTTCAAAGAAGCCTGGGGTGAGGGCACTTTAGTGACGGGGATGCCAAAAGGGAAGAGTACAGGAAAACGGGATGCAACCAAAAGACAAAAATATATGTGTGTGTTAGATCAAAGTTCTTACTGCTACTAACAGAAAACCAGTGCAACCTTTCAGAATGGGGAAAAACCTGTGGAAAACCAGGAAATGCATAGAAGTTATGTGGAGGGAGGTAGCTGTATGGGGACCCCTGGATGATTTGATTGGCCCAGAGGTCTGGTTTCCTCATTGTAGAATTTTAATACTATTTCTGCTGCCTGAGTTTTATTTCATATAGGGCCACAGATGGTGGCAAATAAAAAGTGATATATCATATGAAATATCTGGCTTCAAAGGACAGTAAATCAGTAGATCTTATGATTAATGTGCCACATCGACAATAACGCAATTTCAGCTGAGTAACGTGGCCTTGCAATTTATTCACCACAACCACCACTCAGTCTACAGTTACCCCATCACTACAAAGATTCTGAAAATGGGTTGATTGATGGTGTGGTAGTTGTAGATTGAATTGTGAGTTATATTAATAATTATATAGCCAGGGTACCATGAGAAAAACTAAGCCCAGACATTTTAAACCCATTTTCTCTCCAGGAAAAATAAAATGATTTGACCTTTAAACTTCATGTACCTATCAGCACCCCTTTTACACAGTAGCTTTGCAATTTAAGGAAAATGCATGGCATTTTATTTCATGCTGCCTTCTGAACTATTTAATTTGACAAGATTTCCATCCATCCATTTGACCATTTGTCACACACAGACCATTTCAGTTATGTGCTCTAATCTAATCCAGGCGGATAAAACTGAACTTTCCACTATGTCCCTATAGGGATTTGTAATGTTTAGATTACTCTGCAGGCTTGCTAGGGAAATGAAAAAGAAAAGACAAACAGATTTCTGGGATACTGGAATGCTTCGGAAAGCAGATTCTGCTTGCTGGTTTTACATACAAAGATAATCATTAATATTTCACAGCTGGCACACAGAGCCACAACATGTTTCTATAAAGTCAGTTTTGGCAAGATGGCAACCCCCACAGACATTAGGACTCCATATCTGCAATTTTCTAAAGATGAAGTGACTATTAACTGAACTTGTGAAAGATCATGGGCAGCTTCTTTGCAATCCTATTGGACCCATGCACAGGTATAATGCCTTGGTCACAAAACAATTCAAACTGCTATGCAGGAAGCTCCAAGCTGACTGCTTTCATCTAATGCGACTCTGGAGCCTGAAGAAGCCTGCAAAGATTTTTAAATCCAGATTTCAAATTTCATGTTATCACACAGTATTGGCAGGTCTCCAGGAAAAATTAAATGTTTGCACTTCATTCATTCATTCATTCATTCATTCATTCATACAGGCACCCCCTAAACTCAGTGGACAGCTTTTTACTTCTGAAGGCTATATTGCCTTAGGGTTAATCTGCTGGGGGCCTCAATCACCTCCACTGCTCATCAGGAAACAGCTGAGCAGGAGAGCACTGAACAGCAAAGAAAATCAAGTACTGCTGCAAATAAACTATCTCCTTATTCCAGCCCACCCACCCTGCTGGTCCCCCACTGCTCAGTTGTTCTTGCCCACTAGTTGTGCAAGTTGTGGGAGAGATCCACATTTTCAAAGTACCAGGAGTGCCTTCTATCAGCTCGGAATTACTCATCAGAGCTGATAACTTCAACTGTATCTGGACAGGTAGGACCTAGCAACATTAATCCATGCACTGCTAACCTCTCAGTTGGACTACTGCAATGCACTCTATGTTGGGTTGCCCTTGAAAATGGTCCAGAAGTTGCAATTATAGACTGGTGATGGGGACTGCTGGTACCAAATATATTACACCACTCCTCTATGAATTACCCTGGTGGCCCACTGGAGTCTGGGCCTGCTTCAAGGTTTTCATTTTGACATATAAAGCCATTAACGGTTTAGGACCTGAATATCTGAAAGAATGTCTCCATCCATATAAGCCTACCTGGACCCTAAGACCATCATCAGGAGTCCTGCTCCAGGAGCCCTCTCTAAAGGAAGCTAGGAGGATGGCTACGTGAGGCAGGGCCTTCTCAGTTGTGGCACTCCATCTGTGGAATTGACTACCCACAGATATTTGTCAAGCACCATCTTTATACATATTCCAGCACCACACTAAAACATTTTTATTCAAGGAACATTTTAATTGTTGATTATTTTAATTGGAATTTTAATTATATTTTAATGTAAATTTTAGTTTTCTTAATTTGAGATAGTTCCCATCTGCTGTTAAACTATTATTTGGTGCTCCTGCTATGTTGTTATGTTAATTATTAATCTTTACCGGTTTTAATTGCTTCAACAGTATTTAGGATGTTTTATGAGTTGGTTTTTATCACGTAAACTGTTGATGGAGCCATGTGGTTGATAGAGCCACAAAAGTGAATAGGAATAGAATAGTGCTAGTGTCTCCCTGCTCAGACAGGAGGAGCCACTCTCTCCCTACCCAGGCAGTCAAGACATGGATAGAGCCACCCACAGATTCTGCAGCACTCAGAAATGGCATCTGGGGCTCAGAGCTGCCCACTCTTGGGATAAAATAAATTTGGATGAGAAGCAAGCAATGAAGAAACAGCAAAACTCAGTTCAATTCCAGAGGATCTTGAGAGAAGCAACATAAAACCCACGAGCTTTGAGCCACTTTACTTTTGCTTTATTCACAATAAAGCTGGCAAATTTAATCAATGGCCACATGTATGGGAGCATACAGTGTATGCCAGGTGTATACCAGCTCATTTTCCTAGTTTCTTTCATGATAAGGCACAGTGTATTATCACATGGACACCCAGTGAAGGTAGGTGGTTGAGGTGTTAACCAGTCACCCAAAATCCATGGCTTGGTTGCTGGATCATTTGTTAGCCACCCCAGCCAACTTCACTGGGTTCACATGTAATGACAAACTGCACCCAGTGAAAAGAAAATTACAGAAATGAGCTTGCATGTGCATAGGTGGTTAACAAGCCCCTGTAACTTATTAACTATGCTTGCATCATTCAAACTAGGCCAGAATCTGTAATGTCAAGTGGGTTGTTGCTTGAATTGTAAATCTGTTACTACTTGGTCTGGCAGAAGTTATATTTTTATAAAAACATCAAGTCCAGCTGGAATGCTTACGCCTCAGAATGTTTCTTTGTTCCAGCTCTTCAGAGGTAGGCCTCTGGCTAAGCCTCCTACAAAAAATAAAAATAAAAATCGAATTATTTAGGATGCAACTGAATTAGAGGGGCTTGATTTTCACAGTCATTTTCAAATAACAACTGACAATTTATAGTTATAATGGTTGTGCATTTAAGTTGGATCCTAAACAGTGATAACTCTGATTCTGAAAAATATGCATATTTAATGTCAGGTGCAAGTATATAAAATAGCATTTACTTTTCACAAAGTTAACTGTAAATTACATTTGTTTTTTATGAATCAATGACATACATGTGTCAGGATGGCACACACTTAAAAAGATAAAATGGGTTTGCATTCTTTGGAACTTGAGATAGAACAAGTGATTTATTCATGAACAATAAAAAACCAGTTCACCCATTTCAATAGGCTTAGGCAATGTATCAAGGAATCTGCTAAGTCTATACTTTAGCAGAATAAAAGGCCAAAGAAGGTGTAAAGCTAAAGAAATTTCTGCTCAATCAAAGCAAAATGCTCTTTGGTTCACTGTCACTGGTAGCGTGTTGTAAATGCAAGTTCTGAAATGATCATAGAAAGTCTTCAATAGTGTGTCTGAAATTACTCAAGGTATTTTATTTATTTTTGCTTTATATATTTGGCCTCGCTTCAATAGAAAAAGTATGAATGGGTGGGACTGGAGAGCAGCCAAAATATTTGTTATTAACAACACTGTTATATATGTTGAAATGAACAGAGCAGTGAGTTCTTCCTATTCAACTGAGAATGTAGTCAGTCAGAACAAGTGTAATGTCTTTAGTGGGCTCATAATTAAAAGTATAACTTATTTATTTCATTAAGGCATATCTCCAGCTGAAAAACTGGGAAACAAAGTCTGTACCAGATGCCAGGCACACCTTCATGCTCTCCTCTCACCTCCCAAATGTCCTTAGATTACAACTGATACCTCACTAGTTTTGTGCCGATCTGATGTCTGATTTCCTGCCTCTCCTCTTCAGATGTTCTCTGCAAGATATTTTTGTCTTCCAGTTCTTGTTTTGATGGCCTGTTGCCAAGTTTAATCGCAAGAGTATCTCTACGACGGATTTTACTTGCTAAAGAGCCTGAGATGGAGGTAGAGGGAAGATAAAAGAAAGATTTTCTTTCATTTATGTTCAAATTTAAACATGTCAAATTCCAGCAACAGCCTTTAAATGCAACACATGGACTATCTCTACTGTGCTGTCCTTTTCAGTGGAGGTAGTTTATTTAAAAATGAGAAGCAAATGTATTTTTAAGCCATTAGATGCCCACAAGAGTTTGAATAACTTAGAAAGGAACAACCTGGCAACTAGTATGAGGCCAGAAAGATCACTAACTTATCCTAAAACTTATGAAAAAATTGGTATATAATTTGCTTTAGCAAACTTGAAAGATGAGGGGGCACAATTTCAGTCATCTGGCAATTCTTACTTCTTCATGAATTTTCATTATTAGGATTATTGCCATTACAATTCTTGATAAATAATTATTTCAGGACAAATGCATAATGCTTTCAGGCTGCAATCCTGTATATACTTACTTGGGGGTAAGTCTCATTGGACAAAGTGGAATTCATTTCTAAATAATCAAACAGAGGATTGTTCTGTTATTTATGATATATTTACCACTGGTGGAGGCCAAGAAACATGTCTTTAGTATACAAAGCACAAAGGTTTCTACAGAAAAATCATTTGTTCTCAAAACAATCAGAATGAACAAACACTATCACATTTTTCCACAATTTTCTTCCAACATAAATGCACTTCCTTCTCTCAAAAGTGTACATATGCAATTTATTTTATACATAACATTATATCCCACCTTTTGCCGCAACAGACTGCAAGATGATCATAATTTCATGCTACAATGTAGAATGCAAAAGCGTACAAGTAAAAATATAAAAGAACAGACAGATAAGGAATGCCAGCAGGTAAAATCCCAGATAAAGCAGTAAGAAAGGCCATTAAAATTTATGCACCTTAAAAATATATTTACAGGTAGTCCCTGGGTTATGAGGGAGTTCTGTTCCTGAGAAAATGGAATTCCTCTTTATGTATGTAAGTCAGCTCATGCATAGTTGGCCTCTACATTTGCAAGGGTCAAGGGTGCAGGACCCCCATGAAAGTGGAAAAACCATGAATATCTGTAGTCTCCGCTGCCCAAACAAAGCGAGGAAATTCCAGAAGGGTGGGGCAGGAAGGCATGCTTTGGAGGATTCCCTCTCTCCCCTTTTACTTCCTCCCTCTCTAAGGTGAAGATGATTTCCTGTAGTATTTTAAAAAAATTAATAGGCCTTATGGCAGTACATTTATAAGTATGTAACTCAGGTGTTCGTAGCTTGGGGACTGCCTGTATAGCCTTCTTTTTTCCAATGAAGTCTTGGTCAACTTAGACCAAGCACAATGTAAGAGCAATAAAAAAATTTAAAAGACTCAAAAACATACCCCAACCAAGATAATGACCATTTTGCTATTTAAGGTAACCTTAAGGTAAGGTAAATGCTGTAGTAACTTTAGCAACAACACTATTCCCTCAGTAGCAATAAACACTGTGCATAGGTGTGCACTAATTGCTGCAGCTGGTAATGTGGTTGTCATCCTACAGTACCAACGAATGCAGTAAAGAACATGGTATTTCCTATCATGTAGCGATTTGACCTGGCAGAGAACCCAAACAAAGGTTTGTTAATTGGACAAGTGTGTTTTTCCCCACTGTAAATGTAACTAATATCCATTTAATCTTACTTTCACTACACGCATCATCTTCATCGTCGTCGTCATCTGTGTAGAGTATAGGCCCATCTGAATCAGAGTCACTGGTGTGATTCTCTTTGCTGCTTTCACTTTCTGGAGCATTCAGGGCTTCAGAAACTTCATCTGTTAGGACAGGACTTGCCAGGTCAATGGTGTCTTTCTCAGGGTCTTCTCCAGTGGCAGAACTGTACAGAAAACAGCAAAACATAACTGCAGAGAGAACTCCAATGCTGCAGAAACATGGTGCTGGGATCACTTACATGCAATAGCCATCTACAAATAGGAGGTACTGGTGCTGTCACATCAGCTGACTTGTACAAAATATCAATCAAGAGTACTTTTCACAAAGAAAACAGGACGGAGAGTTAGAAACCATACCAACTTTAGATTAGGCTAGATTCAATCACAGACTGGTTGCTACCTACATAAAGTAAAAGAGACCGTATTGGTTTCCTAAGCTCTGGACCAACTGCATATCATCTCAAGTAGATGTTCTTCTATATGCCAAAAGTGTGGGAACTGTAGCTAGGGATGTTACGCCAAATTCCACATTTCACCTAGCGCAGATTTCTAAAAGCACAGCTTCCATTTATAAACATATTGCAAATTTCTACCCATGCAGGTGAATAATAATTATTATTTACATGTTTATACTGCCCACAGCCAAAGCTCTCTGGGTGGTTTACAAAAGGTATAAAAACAATAAAATACAATAGATAAAACAACTCCCAAGAGTTAAAATTAATAGCACAGAAACATAAAAACAGCAAAAGACAATTAAAAAGACCCAGCCCAAATAAAAGGCACCTGCCTAATTGTGTCAGGCCCCTGAATGACCAGGGAGGTCTTTAAAGGCTTCCACAAAGAGGGCTGTCTTGATTTTGCACCAAAAGATGGCAAACAGCTTGAACACCCTCCGCCCCAATCTGGTCAAAGAGATCACCCACCAACAGCATCTCATTTTTTTCTGGATTGAGTTTCTGTTTGCCCTCATTCAGTCTATTACTCTAGCCAGACACCAGTTTAGCACATCCACAGCCTCACCTGCTGATTATAAAAAGGAGAAATAGAGTTGTGTGTCATTAGCATACTGATGGCAGCACACTCCAAAACTCTGGATGACCCCACTCAGTGGTCTCATGTAGACGTTAAATAGCACAGGGGACAGGACAATTCCCTGCGAAACTCCTTCCCAAGGCACCACCTTCTGGAGATGCCTCTCCAAGTAGCAGCAGAACCACTGCAATGCAGTGCCCCCGACTCCCATCTTGGGCAGCCACTCACCTTCTCTAGAATCTTGCCCAGGAAAGGAATGTTTGCTACCAGTCTGTAGTTGTTCACCTTTTCCAGGCTTCTAGAGAAATGGTCTCACCATTGCCTCTTTAAGGCAGAATGGGACCACTCCCTCTCACAGCGAGTTATTAATTATCTCCCTGGTCCAGCCAGTTATCTCTTCCTTACTGGCTTTTATAAGGGGCAAGGATCTAATTAAAATATTGTGACAATGTGGATCATTTCATATGCAACACACACACCTTCAGGCTCATGTAAATTCATTCCCGGGGTTTTCAATTATAAGTGCTGCCTCCAGCCCCCACCCCTCGCTACTACTTTCTTCCCCTTCCCACCACACCATCTTACTTCTCTGCCACCCTGGTCTCTCCACTCCACACATGCTCTCCTCTCCTCTCCCTCTCATTAGGTACCTACAAAAGCCATGAAGAGCTACCTTTTTCTTTCTAACATTTAGAGAGTCTGGACTCCCAGACATGTTGCACAGCAAAGTGCTGGTCAGGACACCATCATCTTCACTGGCTCACAGGCACTCCAGGCACGGGTCTCCAGTACAGCCCAGGCAGCACTAATGGCACTGATAAAGAAGTCTCCAGTGTGATGCCTGCAGGAACTTGCTAAACATTTGTTTTGATTTTACTTTTATTTTTTTAATTTCCCCCTTTGTAATATACTGAGTGAGATTTCATTCCACAGCAATGAAATGCATATAATTTTCTACCCATTATTCATAGACTTGGACAAAAGTGGACTATCCTAATAAGTATCAATCTGAAAATAGTGCCTATATTCCACCTGATCAAATTTCAAAAGCATTGTGAAGTCCACTGCATTATATGAAGTGTTTATTCTTCCAATGTTGTAATTACCACCTTTTACCTACCAAAAAAAGCACAGAGAAGCTATTTATGCTGACCAATTGTTAAATTCCATGAAACAGGTATATAATTTAAAAGAGTGTGTACATCAATTAATTTACTTATTACTGCCTGCCCTTTTTCCTCTTGCAAGGAACCTGAGGCAGCTTATATAGTCTTCTTCCTCACTATTTCATCTTCACAAAAATTCTGCAAGTTAGGTTAAACTCACTTGGCTGACTTTGGACTAGGTTAAACTAGCCCAAAGTCAGCCAAGTGAGGTTGACCTCATTTGGCACTCAGACTTCCTGAGACCCAGTCCAACATTCTAACCATCATGCTGGATTTCAATGTTCCAGTACAACTTTATCAATGTAATAACCTCCTTCCAAAAAGAAGCAACTATGGGAATTTGTCAAAACATATGTTTTAAAAAAGCATTTGCTGTATTACAAAAGCAACAACTTGCTGGATTAAACAGTGGATCTGTTCACACCACACTAGACCAGCCTGTGAATAAGCTCTGGTGAACTGGTCATTCACTGAACAACCCACGATGTTACAAACTGTTCTCATCCCTAATTCTCAGTCCTTCAGTCAGCTCCTTCAGTCACCTGCAGGTATCTTAGTTACTTTAGTGACAGAACCCATCTTGCCTCCCTCCACTCCACTCTAATGGCTACTTTTTTTTGTTCACTGCCTTTTAAGAAAAGTTGGGAAGCCTCATAGTAGTACAATTAGGGTTGTGGAAGATTTGGGCCCCTGACAATGATATTTTAAAAAAATCTTTACAAAAATTGTCCTTTGGGACTGAGTACTTACAGCTCTCCAATCTAGACAATTTATTTATCCATTTCAGCTGTCAAAGGGAAGTCAAGGTGAGACTACATATAAGTTAATTTACACACAGTTTACAGTGACCAAGTGTCTACTGGTCAAGCTGCCAAAATGGGTGTACCAAGAGGAACATTATCACCCCCCGTAAATGTAATCGCCTTGATTTTAGACACTGAACTTGCAGTTTTTAGTGTACTCCACTTTTTTAACAGAGAAGGCAACTACTCTAGCAAGGGAAGATGCCTATGTACATCAGTATGTCTATGCACACCAGTTGCTGCAGGATTTGGAGGCAATAATGACTATAATGCAAAGTCTGACCAAATTATACCAATCAGGATTCTTGGAAAACATAACTCAAGTCCGTGTTCCAGAAACAGATATTGAAGAAGCAGCAGCAAGCATCCAGAAAGAACTAATAACACACCAAAACAAGACATGCTGGTAATCATAGGTGACCGGAATGAAAAAGTAGGAAACAAAGCAGAATCCAATGTTGTGGGAGATTTTGACCTAGGGATTGGAAATGAAACAGAAGAATTGTTTATTGCAAATACATACATATTTCAGGCAACTGGTCAGATGACCCTAAACCACTGTTAGGTCAGAATATGGAGAAACAAAATAGTTTCTGATAGGCAAAGTCTTCAGACAAGGGTGTATTTTATCTCCTTATCTCTTCAGTCTGTATGCAAAGTATATTCTAAGGAAAGCAGGATTAGGATCAAAGGAAAATGGAAAATTGATGAAACATTAATCAATAATTCAAGATATGCATATTTAAGGTATCATCTGTCTTGCAAAAAGCAGCAATGAAATAAAATGACTCCTGACAAATGTGAAAGATGATGCAAAAACAAGACTACAGCTGAAAATTAAGTAAACATAATCATGATTACAGAAGAATTATAGAACTTTAATGTCAAGAATGAAGACACTTTAATTATAATGATTTTGCATGCTTTGGCTCAATCATCAATTCAAAGGGAGGGTGCAGCCATAAAATTCAAAGAAAACTGAGATTTGGAAGGGCAGCAATGAAGGAAATAGAAAAGATCATCAAGTGTAAGGGCATTTCATTGAATGCCATGGCCAAATAATGCACACTAATGTATTTCCACTTTCTATGTATGGGTGTGAAAGCTGGAAAACGAAGACAGCTGTCAAGAAGAAAAGTAATGAATTTGATGCTGGAGGAGAGCTTTGTGAATACCCTGGCTTGACAAAAAGTTAAACAAGTGGGTTCTTGACCAAACCAAGCCAAAACTTGTACTGGAAGCAAAAATGACAAAACAGAAGCAGTCATACTTCAGACATTTCATGAGAAGGCGAGATTTGCTAGAGGAGGAAATAATGCTAGGGAAAACTGAAGACAAAAGAACAGAAAGACCAAATATGAGATGGATTAATTCCATAAAGGAAGACACAGCTTTGAGTTTGCAAGAGTTCAGCAGGGCTGTCAAGGCCAGGACATTTGTGGGGGCATTAATTCATAGGGTTGCTATAAGTCAAAGATTACTTGATAGCACAAAAACAACAACAAAAGCATACCTGGCAACCTCATGGACATCCATGATTCTGTACAACAGTCAGGGAGAACTTACTTCATTTATATCCTTCCTCCCCATGAGAGAGAGCCCTTTCAGTGTTCTACTAGCTGTGTGTATAACCCTTGAGTTCTCTTCTGATGACTTTACCAGTGGGTTTGTAGCTAGATTCAGGCAGCCTTCTTACAATCTCCTGTTCAACTCTTTCAAATATGATGCTCAGAGAGCCAGGGTCAGCTTAGTAGCTGCCCTTCCTAGAAGTTGTTAGGGATGCCATCTCACCGTACAAGTCTTTGACAACCATCTTGTTTTAAAACAGAACAATTGTTTTCCCTACAATGAACCAGAGGAACAAAATACCTCAAAAATGAGTCTTGAACTGTAACGCTGAAGCACTACAACCATACCGAATCACTGGCAATTTGGTTAATAGTTCTGCTTGTTTTTGTTGTTTATAAGTTATGAAGTTTCCTCCCTCTTACTTCTGGTTTATGAAAACAAAATTCAATGTATTAATTACAAAGAGAAATAACATAGCAAAATCCTTCTGGGTTTAAGTCAAGGCATATGAAAGACTACCTGAATTATTATTCCACGATCTCCCTAAACCTCACTGCATCATGTCCCCAAATTATCTCAACTAGCTGACAGGATGTTGTCTTACCATTTTGTGTCTTCTCCCGCAATATCCAGACTATTGTCTAAGACAGCACTGCTTGAAGAGTTTTCACTGTCTGCTTCAGTTTTCATATGGAGTTCATTAAAGTCTGTGCCAGGGACAGACGGGCTTGTTTCAGCGCTCACTGGCACATCTTGTGTGTCTGAGAAACCAGTGGGCTGAGTGCCTAGAGATAGAGAAGGGATGGATGGAGGAAGAGGAGGTGGAACAGCAGGAGGAGGGGGAGGAACAGTAACTGTGCTCTGCTGGGTTGTATCTCCAGCTTCAGGAATCATTTGGAGAGGCTCTTCTGGCTTAGAATTTTCCATCTTCGTATCTGAGTTGCCTCCTGTTGTGCTTGAGGCTGAAGAAATGTCCCCCTCTGCAGGTGTTCGTGTGGTCACCTGTTTTCCATGCTTTTTCTTGTCTCTGGGTGTCCCTGTGCCTGCTTCCCTTGAAGCTGGCTCTTTAGATATTTTAGGGCGAGATGATGTGGATGAAGGAGATGAAACTGGCACTTTTTTTAAATTAGAAGAACTAGCTGAAACGAGAGAACACACACTTCATCATCAGAAATGTACACACACTATGTTGTGTGGTAAATATCATTTGCTTTTCTACAATGACTTTCAGTCTTCATCCTGCAAAATATGAAGCTACCTAAGTAGTACTTATAGCATGTATGTGCAGTAAGTTATAAATATTTATTGAGCAAGGGTACATGGTTAAACAGTAAGATGGCTTGCTTGCCAGATCAAGCATGGGCTTCAACCTTTCACTCACCCTTCCTCTGGAGTATGAATTTTCCCTGTTTATTGTCTGCCAGCCAAACATTATACTGGGATGGTATTCATTCTAATAAAGGCTAGACAGGTTTCACACTTAATCAGCAATTGAAAAAGGGACTCATTAACAACATTTCTTAAGCTTTCCTTAAGAACACTCCTTAAGAAATTGTTATCAATCACGATTAACACTGATATTGGTGTGACATTTAACCATGGTTAAGGCCAGTGGAGGAAATTGGTGGTGGCAAGATGTATGCCACTTGCTTAGTCATAATTAAAGAATTGGGAGCACTAGCTGACCAGGAGACTAAATGAGAAAAGATGTGATGGGATGGGATAAGAAAAGATCTGGGAATATCACCCCCCCACCCACATTTCGCTATTTTCTGTATTGTTCTTTTTAGTAATTTGGTTCTTTTAACTACAAACAAAGCCAAAAATGGAGAACAACAATGCTGACTGCTTTACAAATTGCTGCATTCCCACGGGACAACCAGCAGCTCCAATGCTTGGCTGCTACTGTTGAGACAAAATGCAAATGCACACTGACCATTTCTGTGCTTTCAAAAATGAGGTGTAAGCAGTTAAACACCTTGGAGGTTCCCCAGCTGTTTAATGAAACTTGAGATTCTTGGAGACTTAAAAGAACAAGTTTCTCACCTTATTATTGCTAAAGTACTATGAAACACAGGCCGTGAGGTAGCAGAATCAAAAAGAAAGAATCCAGTAAATAACATTCATTGTATCCTAATGCACATGATTTCCAAGTCTATGTACATACCTTTTTCTACATTTGAGGGAAATAGTTTTAGAATAAGATATTGTTGACTAAGTCCATTCTGTTTGCAAACCATATTTTGGCAGTTGTGCTTGAGAAAGTGGCATGCGATCTTTTAACCACATTTCAATATTTCTGTCCTAGTTAATGCTCTACTATCTTTTCATTTTAATTTGGTTATTTTGCACAGTTGTGTTTTCAAATGGGCATCAAGTAGAAGGGCTATGGATATATACTATTTTAGCAAATATTTTGCAGGATTCCAACAAAAATGCTCAATAACCAACCATAAAGTAATCCCTGGCAGTTGCAAACCCCACAGGGCTACATGTTACCCACCTACACATTATGGAGGCAGAGGAAATATAATGGTCTTAATATTACCATGTGCATAGCCAAGTGTCACCTTTCTGTTTCCATGTAATTGTAGCTCATGTTCATCTTTATACAGGTTATTTGGGAAATGTTGGTGGCCATTGTCGTTGAACGCCACTGTGCTGTAGTGGTTAAGAACATGTGACTGGGACACAGGAGATCTGGGTTCTAGACTGCACTCCGCCTTAGTGCTCACTGGTGACCTGGACCAGTTACCGATTCTCACCCAAACCCACCTCACAGGGTTGTTTTGTGGGGGCAATGATGTAAACTGTCTTGATAGGGAAAATGGTGGGATATAAATATAATATATAAATCAAGTCAAGTGAGCTTAGAACCATATGTTCTAAAAAAATGTTTTAATAAATAAATAAATAAATAAATATGTGACAACATTTATTAGGCACAGAACTAGGCAGACTGAGTTAGAACACAAGGCAATGAAGAGTTAGTAAGAGAGCATCCACTCATGGGCATTAGGAGCTTCTGGCATTGAAATCAAACAAGTACCATAAATGTCAAGCTATGTGCTTGAGGTCTAATACGCACAGCCTATATTGTGGAACAACCAATGTGGTACTCACCAGTTTCTCGGTTCATGCTCCGGCTTGTTGACTTCGGAGGTGCAGCAGACACCTGCTTAGCAGAAGCCTTGCCCTTTTTTTTAGCATGTGGCACTTCATTAGTTCTATGGCTAGTGGTAGCAGCTGTGGTATTTTTTGGAGGTATGGTTGCCTTTTTACCTTTAGGCTTAGATTTAGGAGGTGGTGGAGGAGGAGGAGGAGGAGCACGGGGTACTGAAGTTTCAGGACGTTTAGGAAGTGGTTTCTCTACGAATGAGAAAGTGAACAGAAGGCAACTGACACATCGACAACAAAGGACAAAAAGCAAGACAAACAAACAGATGCACTTCTTGGTGTTGCTCCACCTCCTGAGAATCAGGATCATTTTGCTTTTGCTTTTTTTTAAAAAAATTACTGCCAAGTTATACTGGCCCTTCTAAAGTACCTCCCAGATGTATGCTTACCAGGAGGTCCAGAGTGGCTCTCTAAAATCAAAGCTAATCTTTTTTTAAGTTCCCTTCTTACTGAAGGAAATGTGTTTAATATCAGCTTGTATTATTACAATCATTTTACATTTGTTTCCCAAGAAAGCACTATTGAGTTTTTGCTAATTCTCCATCCTCTTGTTAATGCTAAACCTCTTTCCAGTGTAAAACAGTGTTCTTATTAGAAACAATTAGTATATAAACATGAACAGTGTGTTAGACAAATATAGCTAATGACATATTAGTTAGAATAATTAGAATGCAAACATGCCCATTTTGTCACATTTTGACTAAGAGAAAATTCAAATTTCCCCATCTGATTTTTTGGGGGAGGGGGTCACCAATTATGGTTTAATCCTTCTGTTACCAGTTCTAGACCAATGTAAGATTTTGACATGGCCTGCCCTCAACCATTATGGCATCAATGAGCAATTATTTATACTCACAATGTTGCTTGACACATACTGGGCTGTGTGTATGTTGTTTTAAAAGAATCTATCGTTTTCCAAAGCCTATGGGATGTGTAAATCCTAGAGCAGGATCTGTCAACTAGCATGCACTCAATAATCATTTACCCAAAATACAAGTGGATGAAAACCTGTCAGCATGTTCTTATTATCCTGGTACAATAGAAGGACTTCCATTTAAACATGCCTGTTGGTGGCTGACACCCCATCATTATTACTAATAGCAATCCTCAAAACGTAGAAAGCATTTGCAAAATGACAAGTTTCAGAAAGGTTTAGTTTCTAGAATTGTTTAGCTGGGATGTTGTCACTTAGAAAATCACTCTTAACTCATTCTGTGCTCAGTGTACCGATCTGCCAAGGTCTAATCACCAAGGCATTCAACATTTCATTACTACAGTTAGGCTCATTTGCTGTATTGTTAAATAGTCCATTCCTACATATGAAAAGAAATCAGCATACAATCTCACACCCAGTTATGATTATTCAAGTCTCCCTGAGATCTGCATAGGGCATAATTGTGGAAGCAAACAGAAATTGCAGCCCTAGTTTATGACAAATCTTAGTTCCTCTTAAAGAAAAATAGTTGGAAATATGAATTCAATCCTCTCTCCAAACAAACAAGGACAGAATCTATCTGCTGCAGTAGAGAGTGATATAAGTGAAAAAGATTTAATCTTGTCCTCCACCTTAATGTGTACATTATGTGACATCTGTCTTTTAAGCACAATCCTATACAAGTTAGGATGAACAAAAGGTCTACAACTCCCAGCATGCTCCAGTACAGTATGGTAGTTGTAGGTTTGTTTTTGTTTAAACTTGCACAGAATTGTGCACTCGGTCTCAGGAAATGTTCTACCTCTGCCCACATAGCTAGCAGCATCTTCCCCAGCAAATACACATATTTTTACTTACTAGAGTATTTTTATAAGGAAAAAGTGAATCCTGAGTCAGGCTGGCAGGTTTGTTTCAAGATGATTCCTTATGGAATTAACTTTCTTAATACACCACAGTTACCTGTTGTGATGCTGTGCCTGGCGTTCGTTTGTCTTGGGTTTCTAGGGGCCCTTTCATGCAGGCAACTGATGAGGAGGCGCAGCAGCTCATCAATGGCACATACGCACGATCACATGCTTCAGCAGCTAATGTTGCATTGTCACCAAACTTTTGTTCTGCCCTCAGAATCAACAACATTAACTGCTGAACCAGTAAGGGCACACAGAGAGCAATACTCTCTTTCTACCAATCACAGTCTAACTGCAAGTACCACAGAATCGCTACAGGTTGTTAAAGGGTACTTTCTTTAGCTATCTTGAGCGTGCATTATTAGACAGAAATCTGCCACAAGCTTTTTCTGTGAAAAACTATGGTTAGTAAGATTAAAAAAAAAAAAAAACAGCTATGGGCATCCAGGAAACTTACAACAGGCATTTAGGGCAATGACCATACTTGTTGGTTGTTCCCACTATTTGGTATGCAGAAGTGTTCAGCCTTTCCAACAAGCACTTTCAGTTTGCTATCATGGACATCAAGCACTGCCGGCCATGTCCCCTGCTAATTTCTCTAGTCCTTTCTCAGCTGCCACCTAAGCAAGACCATGTGGTTGTAATAGTGACACTGCTATTCAAGAACACATTACATTGCTTTGATCAGGTGATGCTTAAATCAGATGAGAAAATGCTTAAAAGACTATATAATTTCTTACTTGATAGGAGAATGGAAGATGAACAGGTTAAGGAAACTATGATAACGTGGGCACAAAACTTTGGATATAATATTGAATTAGAAAAATGGCAAAAGCTGTGGGAGAGAAATATTAAGGTAACAACTTTGTATAAAGAAAACATGTATAAAATGTTTTATAGATGCTATCTGTCACCAAATAGATTAACTAAGATGTTTCCAAATATGTCAAATGGATGTTGGAAATGTAAACATAAATTGGGTACTTTCTATCATATGTGGTGGACTTGCAATAATGCGAAAAAGTATTGGATTAAAATACATAAATGGCTTGAGGAAATGTTACAAAAATCCTTAGCTTTTAAACCTGAAGTCTTATTAGGCATTATACCTGCTGATATTAGTAAACAAGAAATGTACTTGATTGTACATGTAATTACTGTGGCGAGGATTGCATTTGCTCAACACTGGAAAAGTGAAGAACCACCCACCAATGAACTGATCCTAAAAAAGATCTTGGACTGTGCAGAAATGGATAGATTGACTTTGTCATTGAAGGAGAAAGAAGATACTGATTTCTATCAAACTTGGGACACTTTTTATTATTGGCGAGAGAAACAGGACTTCGTATAGATTTAAATCTGTTTCTAAGTTATCATAAATAGAAAAAATGTGGGGGCTGACCCAGCAGGTCTGATGTTTCTGATGATTGATGTTGTTTTTAGTTTTTCTTTGTTTTAGGGTTATAATTTTGAATAAAACTTATTATGAAAAAGAACACATTACATTGCTACAGAATAAGCAATTATTCTTTTAGCTCCTCTGAAAAAGGGTATTAAGCAACATAATCTCAAATGTAAAAACATCTTTAGTAGTTTTAAAGTGGTAGTCAAATAATGGCCATGTTTGAGAAAACCATGTTGATATTCTGAGATCCTGTATTTGCAAAGTAGTGTTTAAGGCAGGAGTAGGGAACCTCTGGTCCACAGGCCTAATCCAGGTCACAGAGGTTCCCTATCTGAACCATGGAGGCTCCAGCACTCTCCCTGGGATCATCCCCTCTCCAAGTCCAGCCCCCGACCTGGAGGCCGCCCAATCTTAGAGAGTTGGTCTGCTTGTCTCTATTTCTGCTTTCTCCATTCAGACACAGCAAGAACATTCCTGTCTGCCCTTTGCCGTCCAAATGGGACAGTGAGTGGCATGAAGGGAAGCTCCTTTCTTACCACCCACCAGAGCTAACAAAGAGAATCCACCTGAGCATGCTGCAGTTGTCTCACACCCACCCTAAGTGGGGAAGGTGAGTGAGCAGTGGAGCAAAGGGTACATTCTGCTTCTATTTTCAAAAGGACCTGGAAAAGCGAGTCAAGGGAAGTCCTCTTGTCCCTCATCTTCTTCAGGTGTAAAAGGTGTGGCTCAGGTTCCCTGGCTCAGGTACTGGCTTATCCTGCAAAACCACTGGCACTTTGCTACCCCCACACATTTGGCAACAGGTGGCTTTCAGAGAGTTCTGGGGAAACTAACAGTCAATTCATGTTTAGTTGAACAATTAGAAATGTATCCTTATTCCAAACTTTCCACCTTCCTTTCTACTGCAAATGGTCTAGCCTCTATTTTAGTCTGTTTTATTTAAATTACCTATTTCTGTCTGAAGAGAACTCACTTTCTATTGCCATCTTGTTTCTGCACACCTTCTCCTTTAGGTTCTCCAATGTTATGTGCAGAGTTGTTTGCATAATGCACACTTTTATGTTAAATGGATAGTCATATATTTGAATGAGTACAGAGATTTGCATTTTAATGTACCTTTTTTACCCTCTGCTCTCTCTTCTGGAGCTTGTGCTTTTGCCAATATGGAACTATTGTCCTCTGTGGTCTTCACAATGTTTTCTTCCTCTATGGCTTCTTCAGCGATTACAATTGTGTGGCCATTTGAGATTTCATAATTCACTGCTATTTCTCCATCTGAAATGAAACTTAAGTCATTTGCTAACTTTGGCAGTGTATTTAAGAGCACCAGATTTACATGTTTTCCATTTCTTAAATAATGTTTTTTCAGCAAGATGAATCATGTGATTTGATATGCATCAGCTATTTTGTAGAGTTGTGCTCCCAGCCCTGCTTAAGAAGCTTGTCTCCAAATGCATCTGCAGGTTCTGTACTTAAGGACTAGCCCTTCTGGAGTACAACTTGTGGGGCAGAATTTTCCTCAAGGTGTCCCATTTCCACACTGCCCCTAGCTCCTTTACACTAGAGGAGAGGCTGATGTCTGTGCAGAATACCTGGCCCAGAAATGAGCACTCTGACCAAAATACATAGGAGCCAGTATATGTTATTTGCGTCACCTAGTCAGGGTTGCAGAATGCCTATATAAGATACTGGCAAGAGCAATGGTGAAAGAATCAGAAATGAAACCTGATTGGTAAAACATAACAAAGGAGTTGTCCAAGTTCAGTCCTGCTTGGGATAAAGAAACTGGGATCTCCATGGAGAATATGCTGTGGAGCAGAATCCTGCACAGCAGTTCCTCCACACCCCAAGGAGAAATCAGGGCCAACTTTCCTTAGCACTAGACCAGAGATCAACGAGCCAGTTGCCTGAGCTCCTGGCTGGTTCTCAGAGCTGCTCATCGCCTCCAGAGCTTCAGGAGCAGAGGAAACGGTGAACCAAAACAGACAGTGGTGAAAGACACTGTGAGCTGCAATCCAACAACATCTGGAGGGCCACATGTTCCCCATCTCTGCTCAAAACCCTGAGCTGTTCATATAAAAACCAGAGCTTTGTTACTGTAGGAGTCTGAATTAGAAAGCTTTTGATTTCAGCAATCTGTTCATGAGTGTTGTGATGCTTATCATCATAATTTGAGCCATTTTGCTATTTAGTAAATAAATCCTTCTGTATATTAAAAGGATAAGTCCAGCTACTGCAAAATCCATTCTTAAACTTTTATTGGTACAAGCGTCATGTGTGGATAGCAGTATTTTCCTTATTCATCCCTGTTACTACTTTGGCATACTCTGCACATAACAGGGGAGAGAGAGGTTTACAGTTTTTTCCCTCTTGCCTTTAGTTACCAAACAGCTGCTTCAGACACTAATACTTGGCCCAAAATGTCACATGCGAGTGACATATTTCTAACAGCAAAACTGACAGGCAAACAAGTGAACATCACAAGCAGTATTTGTCCAATGCGAAAGGCCAGTATAGAGTATCTGATGCTGTCTTTAGAGAGTGCTGAGCAGTCCTTCAAATATGTATCCACACCTGCATGTCAAACAGTTCCTCTGAAAATAACTGATTTACCTAAATAGCCAAGTAATATTCCATGTAGCTTTGTGGTGCTTTAGCAATGGCATGCACAGTGGCAACATTGTTTTGTTTTGGCCCTTCTTGCACACTACCTCTGAAGCCTGGCAAAACTATCCTTGATTCTACATTCACAAGTTACAAAACCTAACAAGCCATGGGTTCTCTTTCTGAACTTTTTGTGATTAAAGAAGCATGGACTGAACAACAGAATGTCCCAGAATTCAACATTATGTGCAGATCTAGCCACTGACTTTGTTCACACAACACGCAATAGATCTTTGGGTTATTTAGTACATGGGAGTGTTTAAGCCCCAACCAGGGGTTGTCATGTTACATAAACCCGGGTACTTTGGTTTATGCCCTCCAAACTTGTACACAGATAACACACCCAAAATATATGCATACATCCAAACTTCTTTACTTTCTTCATTGGTGTCCCTCTGTTACCCCTCAGGTTACTCCCTGCTGCTGCTCCCACCCCAAAGCTTACTGGGCAGCTTTGTTATCTTTCATTTTTCCCCTCCTTCTTGGGAAAGAGGTTTGATGAAGGTTGGCCTACTGCTGCCCTACCCTCTTTTTCCCTTTCAGAAGAATTTTTCTGAGGCCCTGTGGGACTCAAGGGGGTGGGCAAGAAAGATGGGAAGGAGGCCTCTGCTTTGTCCATGTTTTTTTTAAAGTTAAAACAATTTAAAAAGGTGAAATAATACGGAGGGGCAGAGAGCCTTGGCAGACGTCCAGAGAGGTATTCTGGGTGTTACACTACCCATGAACACAGTGTTGCCGGACCTTTTAGTAATGCCTGTGTTGATAAGCTCTCAGCTTCAAAATAATGGGAACAGCAGCAAGGAAATAACATTGAAGTAACTTGTAAGCAGTATTATATTACTTGCCATCACTTTGCTCATTTATTTCCTTCAGGACACCCCTTCTTATCAGCTCCTCTCTGCTCTGTCTGGTTGATATCTTCCTTTCTAGCACTTTAAAAGAAAAAAAGGCAACAGTTAGACAGTCATTCAGTAAACATGATTACAGAAGTTGGATTTTTTCTTACAAAGAAAAGAATATTAAAAGAAGACAACCTTCTTTTCAAAATATTTTTATTATAAAGTAATCCTGGGCACATTAAAATGCAGCTTGATATTTTATTGACAAGTACAGCTATATTTAATGCTACGAAATTACCAAAGGAAGATGTTATTAAGATGTTCTATTATTAAGCAAACTCATAATGGTGGATTCAGACTTTCTCTGTTTAGGCACCATAATCTGCCTTTCTGAATGGTAGAGACACATTCCTTCTCTTCAGCTTAGAAGCAAAAATATTTTTGTTCTATAAAGTAATGCATAGCACGGTTCTTGGAAAATAAAAATGAAATTTCAGTGCAAGTTGCATAACTTACATTCTGATGCATGTGAAAATGGCCTTGTAAAGATGAAACTAGCTGAAGCTCCAACAAACATATATACCATGATGAATATGCAGAACTTTCTGGAAACAGAGACTGTCCTGTATATGATGACTGCCGTAAAGCACCTCTCACATAGTTCAGATACTCAAAGCTTTTAGTTTCAGACGCTTATTTTATTGGGTTCTGCACAAGAGGATTTTCCCTAACTTCTCTCATGTTATGATGTAGTTGGCTGTAAATTATGTAACTTTATGTACACTCATATTTAAAAATTCCCATGAACTATACCATATGCTACTTTATTTTAAAAAATGAACATATGTCTGCTGACATAGATTCAGGAAGAAGAATCAATAATCCAGTTAAGACAATCTGGTACTTCTGAAGCCAGCCCATCATTTCTAGGTCAGTCCTGCTATTTCCACTTCCAATCTATTTATATACATTATCAATTCAAAATTTTGCTCATACTGTTTTGGTTACAGTATTTCTGAACAGTACAAATGGGTTCCTCCTGTGCCTTGCTAGTATTTTTCCACCAGTCCTTCACAACTGGAAGCAAATTAACCTATACAGCAATCTATCTTCTCAGTTTCCCTATATGTTACCAAGTCCACATGGAACCATTCAAGGAAATTGATAGGGCAAGTCTACACATATTGGAAACTTGAATCTGTCCTCTTGTGTGCTTGTGAAAGACAGGGGGTGGAATGAAATTAAAAAGAATGACCCTATTTGCATAATTTTCAAGACCCACTCCTACCAATAAAATCAATTTGAGCAAATTACCATTTGTACAAATGTAAGGACCTGAAAAAAATACTGCGTAAAACTTTTCTGAAAGAGAGAGAGAAAATGTACTACAGACCATCGCTGCTTGCCCAAATGGAAATACTGCAAAATTCCATCAGACTCAAATGGAATGGAATTTCTGGTATTACATGTTCCTAGGGCATAGTCAAAAACATTTTGTATGACCGTCCTCTCTTAAGAATGCATGCAATAGATGTTTATCTATTAATTTAATCTTTATTTTTAGGGTGCTTTTTCCATTTTAGGTTTCTAATCAATCCACCCCAACCCATTTTTGCCTTTCCTGATTTTCCCACCTTTGTGCTGTATACGGACTTTAGGTCAGTGACAGAGCATGTGTTTTGCATGCAGACAATCTCAGGTGCCTTCTCTAGCAATTTATGTAAGGCTGGAAAAGGTCATTGTTTGAAACCCCAGACAGTTTCTGCCAGTCAGTGTATACAATACTAGGCTAGAGAGACTGACGATCTGATTTGGTATGAGACAGCTTCCTAAGTTCCTATCCTGGCCAGATAATTGGTGCTGTCCACTCTAGCAGTGCTGATTATATGTTTAAAAGGAATGTCTTAGTAAATTCCCCCCATTACTTCACTGTCAAAATTAAAACACCATCAGAGATGACAATGCTCCCATTTAGAAGGTGTAAAAGTAAGACTCTTATATGTACATATAGGGTGTTAGAAGTATGGTTTTACACCATATAACATTCTTTTTCTAGAGGGTAATCTTACTTATTATTTTGCACTGATCACCTTGGCTGAACTGGGGGTGTACACCAACCATGATGCTGCTGCTGCTGATTGTGGTGCCTTGTATTAATATAGGCAAATATTACAGCTTTCTGGGTCACTCTTCCTAGCACAATCTCATGACTCTCTCAAAACACATTCCTGCAAGTCAGGCTAACTTCTAGAGTAGTACTCAATGTGGCATGAGGTTCTGCAGCCAAAACAGCAACCTGACAGTCTCCTTATGCTTTGCACATGTATCTAGGCATCTGGATCCCTATCAGAGTCTACTCTTGCAATATGTAGCATACCTATGCAGACAGCCTTATTGAAGTTAGCAGGCAGGAAGGTCTTCAATTTTTCAACATGACAGCCCTACCCCAAACACACACACACACCCCCCTAAATAAAATTTAGGTCTCAGTATAAATTGGCAGCTTTAATTTTAATCAGAGCTATCAGTTTTCTAACAATCTGTACATTCTTGTGAGTTTCTTCTTTACTATTAAAACAACATTTAGTCCTCCATATTAAAAATATACAGGAACTATTTCAAGAGATAGCATTTCTGTGCTATGCATAGCTCCATGGTCTCCAGACATGCTCCCTTACTCATGAACTTTTTATATCCATTGCATGATTCCATTATTTCTATTTGTCTTGCCACTTTAACACTACCTGCCTAAATATAAATTCTGGTTAGAAAATATTTTAATTGACCCTATCAACAAATGAAGCTATCTTATTATATAAGGTGGCCAATAAGCTATCCAACTTATTTTGAGTCAGACTTCTGATTCACCCAGTTCATTTTGTCTACTTTGACTGGCAGTGGATTCCCAACCTTCCTATGCAGTGCAACTTCCGGTTTCTAAACTGGAGATGCTCTCCATTGAGCCTGGAAACATCCACCTGCGAAGCATGTGCTCTGCCATTAAGCTGTGGCTCCTCACCACAAATTCATGAAGAATAAAGACACTTGCAGAGAATATGATGAGCATACTTTGTTCTCCTGTTCATGTTTAGTTCTAAAATATTCTGCTTTTGCAACAAACCCCCATAATTTCTGCTTCGTGAACTTCTGAGGTCTTTGTATTTTTCTATATCTCTGTCTTCTCCTCAAAGGAGTCATACTCATTATGCTGATGCTCCAGTCTAATTATGGCTTCTGAAAAGCATAATGTTATTGGGAATAAATGTGGTAGTTTAAGATTAATGCAGTTCTATTTCACAAAGCATCTTAATTACAGTTTCAGATTGACTTGCACATCGTAATTTAGACACTGTGATGAAATACACATGTGGCATTTCATAGAATTTCATAAACAAAGACAGGTCCTTGCCCTCAAGAAATCTACTGTCTACATTTAACAGTAGGGAATATAAAAGAGGAATGGAAGCAAAGAGGCTTAAGTAAGAATGATACATGAGCATATAGATTTACAGATATTTGAACCTGGTTATTGGAGTAAGGAATGTAATGAATGGATAAGTCAAATGTCTTAAGGAAAAGTTGGTTTTGGAGGAAGATTTGAAGGCAAAAGAGAGGGAACTGCACAAATAGTGAGGAGTGATATAGCCCTCAATTGCTCTAGTTGCCAATAACTATAAATATCAAGCAGGACTTGCTCCTTCTTGTAGAATTGGTGAGGAACTTCTTACAAATCTTCTGTATTAGGGCTGGATTTAACATGAATTGAAGTGAAACAGCAGATCCAAGGGAGAATGAGAAGTCGTTTTCTTGTAACTACTTCCCATATTTATACCTCTTTCATAATAAGTCAAAGATCACAGAAATCATCCACTGAAATTCCCCATGCATAATGTTAGCAATGTCCCTTTGCAAGAATGGTGCAGAAGGAAAAAGGTAAAAAAAGCAAAACACAGAATCAAAGGACTGAGCCCTGCAGTACCTCTCCCCAGTCTGAGAAGGTGCCATTGATGAGTACTCTTTGAGTTTGATTCTGTCCCCAATTTACAGTTATTCCTTTTAACTAGTTTTCTGAACAGAATGTCATGGGGTGCTTTTCCAAAAGCTTATGCTGATGATCTTCTATTGTCTATTTTGGAAATCCATTTATCTGTTCCAGCCTTGATGAAAATTATTAATGATTTTAGACATTTATTTGGTTAACTGGTCATATTCAGAACTTGTATCTATTGGAGCCAATAATGAGTTCTCTAATTGACAATTTAAACTTTGTGCTGAGATCATTATTTATCTGGAATAAATGTTGCCCCATGAGACATCATAAATGATTAAGCTACTGACTCTGTCCTTAGGGTGGTTCCCACTACTTGTAGGCTTCATAATTGGTCTGCTTGCTTCACCTCTTGTCTCCTGACGAATTCAAGGAACCCCTCACCCATCTCTTCCAACTCCAGCTCTGAAAGTCTCCCTTCATTTCCAGAGTGGACTGGTTCTCTCACTAGGTCCAAGAATGTTCACCAGGTAACTTTGAAGCTGCCAAGTCCTTTGCCCCCTTTGCCATTCTGCTCCCTCCTCAGAATCAGACAAATCTATCTGGGGGGCCCTCTCCACCACTTCCTGGGGCCTTCATCAAGCCAAATAAAGATGTATGCAGATGATATGCTTCTCTTCCTTTAAATCACAATTGAAATAGAGAGACTTTAAGGCAAATACTTAAAAAGTTAGCTGTTGTACAGGAGTAAATAGTTATTATAAAAATTTAAATTATTAGATATAAACAGTTTTTTATATGAACAACATAAATTAATGAGTATCTAAGCTAGATTTTCATTATTGTTTTAAATATTTAGGAATTCAGTTAACAAAACCACTAATCAATTAATTTGTAGATATGGCAAGACTTTAAAGGGGGAAAAATTGGAAATGGGGTGACGTAAATCTATCTGTATTATGTAAACTTGTTCATATATTACCAGCATGTTCACTGTTGTCTCAAAATATTCCTTTGTATCCAAATGTTGAAAAATAACATCAAGGCAAAACAAAACAGGAAAAGGTTTAAGATTCATAAACTGTAAAATATAGACCTGGTCCCT